TATTAATATTTGTAAGGTGTTGGGACACTACAGTCAATCATTCAGAAACCTTCAAACTTGTTCAAGCATCAAACAATCATCAAAAAGACTGGATCATGTACATTTTCACTACAGGACAAACTCTTGGTTACACACATGCATGTTTGGCTATAAACAGCTCAGTGAGTGCTTGTTACAAATATTTGCCACGAAATAGACACAATTCAAACTCTCATGATTTCCTGGCACAATTTAATACCTGTCAGCAAGTGACCCATAGCATGTGCACCTTTTAAAAGTCTGCTATTGGCAGTGAATATGTTTCAAAAACTGCATGATCAGATTGCTGAGTTCCTTAACTCATGATCTCTTCTATTAACAGGGTAAATATTTTTCATGCGATGAAGAAAAAGGCCTTGTTTTAAACACTTGACACTTTTAGCCCTTCTTTTGGAACCCAATATGCCTTACAAGAGCATCAAAAGCAAAACAGTTTTGCAGCGGCTGAAGTTTACTAAGAAGTTACTGATTGAGTATAATTTTAGCCTCTCTGTACGTGGACAGTGTTTGCAGCTATGCTAACCCCAAAAATAGCCTTTGGTTTTTAACACTATCAGAGTGAAAATTATATCTATGTTTTGTCTCAGGAGCTTGTGAATGGGCCACTCAGGGTTTGTCTACACAGCAATTAAACGCCTGTGGCTGGCCCCTGTCAGCTGACTCAGGCTCACAGGGCTTGGGCTCTGGGGCTGTAAAATTGCAGTGTAGACATTCAGGCTTGGACCCATCATGTGGTCCCAGAGCTGCCGGAACATCTAGCCCTGCAGCCCGAGTCAGCTGACATGGGCCAGCTGACACGGGGTATTTAATTACTGTGTAGAAAGCCCTCAAGTCATGAGCTGCAGTGATTCTGTGTGGAAGCCAGAAAATTCATCTCATGTACTTGCCTTTAAAAAGAAAAAACATATGCAAGAGCAGATGGATGGATGCAGCTGCTGATTCTACTGTTGTTAATTTTACAGACATCTTGTTAGAGATGTTTATAAATAGGTTTTGAAGGATTACATTTTTATTTGTAAATGTTGGTAAACTTCAATTTCACCATACACAAACCTATGAAAAAATATTTCCATCCATCATAACACAAATGTACAGATAGGCAAAATAAGAATAATGGTGCTTGAGAACTTATTAGAGTTTGATTTAAGGATAGTTACTTGGTATATTTTGACATGTGATGTTAACAGTTTCTGTTTTAACAAGTATAAAGCATTAACTTTTTTAATTTTATGTCTACTGTCATTAAATAATTATTGTCTGACCTCCCCATAACTTCCCACAACTGTGAAAATTTAAATTGATAAAAATAAAAAAGCCTAAAAAGATTATCCATCAAAATTATTTAAAAAAAATAAAAATCTAATTCTGCCAAGCCTACTTATAAAGGATCTTTATACATAATACATTGAAGACCAGGAACCACATCCTCACTATAAATTTAGTGCACTGATTTAAAGACTTGTGTCAAATTCAGCAGTTAGTCTAAGCCAGCCGTCTCAAACACGTGGCCCACGGGCTGCATGCGGCCCGTGGGGTTCTTTCGTGCAGACCGCCAAGCTCCCCGCACTCCCCCCCCCGCCTACCCCGTGTTGCCGCAAGCCCCGCGCTGCTCCCTGAAGCAGCTGAACTACTGTATGTCCCTGCAGCCCTGAGCAGGGGGGTGGGAGGCGAGTAGAGGGCTCTATGCTCTTGCAGCTCCCATTGGCCGGGAACTGGGAACCGCAGCCAATGGGAGCTTTGGAGGAGGTACCTGGAGGAGCAGCAAGAGCAGCACATGGAGCCGTTTCTCCCTCCCCCCCCCCCCCAGGGACTCCGGCTGCTTCCTGGAGCGGAGCGGGGACAGGGCAGGCAGGCAGGGAGCCTGCCCTGGCCGTGAGGCGCGGCGCTGCCACCCCGCTCTAGGTAAGCGGTGCCGGGCTGGAGCCCGTACCCCGCACCCCTTCTGCACCCCAACCCCCTGCCTGGAGCCCCCTGCCACACACTGCACCCCAACTCCCTGCCCTGAGCCCCCTGACGCACCCCTCCTGCACCCCAGACCCCAATTCCCTGCCGTACACTGCACACCTCCTGCACCTCAACTCCCTGCCCTGAGCCCCCTCCTGCACCCCCTGGAGTGAGGACTTCGGGGAAGGGGTTGGAATGGGGGTAGGGAAGGGGCGAGAAGAGGTGAGGCGGGGCAGGGGCGAGGCCTCATGGAAGGGGTGGAGTGGAGGCAGGGCTGGGGCCAACGAGGGGGGGTGTCAGTGATGCGGCCCTCGGGCCAATGCACTAGTCCTCATGCGGCCCTCGAGGTCATCTGAGTTTGAGACCCCTGGTCTAAACTGACATAATTGCTCTCTCCAAATGTTTAAATCTGCATCTACACATGAAAGATGTGCTCCTTTAACTATACTTGCATAGTATAAAGCATAAAAATGATTACACTGCTATAGCTTATTCCAGTTTGTGAGGCAAAATAAGCTATACATGTATAAAGTGCCTTACACTAGTATAACTGCATCCACACTAGGGAGTTTGCTGGCATAACTATGTTGGAAAAACATACCTCTTAGGCTTGGTCTACACTAAACCCCCAAATCGAACTAAGGTACGCAACTTCAGCTACGTGAATAACGTAGCTGAAGTTCGAAGTACCTTAGTTCGAACTTACCTCGGTCCACACGCGGCAGGCAGGCTCCCCCGTCGACTCCGCGGTACTCCTCTTGTCTAGCTGGAATACCGCAGTCGACGGCGAGCACTTCCTGGTTCGACTTATCGCGTCCAGACAATATGCGATAAGTCGAACCCAGAACTTTGATTGCCAGCCGCCGAACTAGCGGCTGGGTGTAGACATACCCTTACTGACATAGTTATGCTGCTAAACATTTTAAGTGTAGACTAGGTTACAACTCCCTTACTAGCTCACCCATGGGGCCCAATCCATGAGGTCTTCTCAGAGGTTGCCACAGAGCATGTCTACTGAAGGAGGTGGTGGTGTGTGTGTGTGTGTGTGTGTGTGTCCCCTCCCCCATCCCCCTATATAACCATTAGCCCAGTAATTAAAGCACTCATCAAGACTGTAGGAAGCCCAGGTTCAATTTCCCCTCTCTGTTTGATTTGGAGCAAGGAGTTGAATGCACATCTCTCACTGTCCAGTGAAGTGCACCAAACGCTGGGTTATGGGGGTGTTCTCCCTCTATCTTGTCTGTTGATGCTGCGCCACTTTGTATAAATCATTAAAGAGACATTGGGCCACAGAAAATAGTGAGAAGGACTCTGCAGTTCAGATTTGAAGAAGAGCTCTGTGTAGTTTGAAAGCTTGTCTCTTTCACTTAAATAAATTGTTCCAATAAGAGAGATTAACCCACCCACCTTGTCTCTGTAGTTCAGTGGCTAAGGCACTTATATAAAGTTGGGGGATCCCAGTTCAACTCCATGTCCTAATAATTTTAATTATTTACAAATATTGGAACAATTTCAGCAGGCAAAACTGAGAGCATCCAGGCAAGCATAGCCCAGTGATTAGGGCACGCACCTGAAAGGTGGGACATGGAGGTTTAACTCAGATGGGGAGAGGGGGAATTGAATCAGGCTTCCCATGTGCTGGGAGAGTGCTCTAACTCTGGACTAAAGGTGGTTGTTGTTATTTGGGGGGGAGGGGGAAAGGGGGTGTGTCTCTCCCTTGGCTTTTTGTGAAAAAGGCCTTGGGGCCTAACTCCAGGAGTGGGGTTCACAGGCATGAATCCCAATGACACTAAATGAACAGGGGCTCTGGAAGCATGGCAGATGTGACATCCATATGCTCAATGGCTGCTTCAAGTCCTATGGTGAACTTGTGGAAGAGCATTTGACATTTCTCCTGTAGGCTAGGGACACCTCTGTGAGTAAGAAAGAAAAATGTAGGAGTTCAGATCTTGACTTTTCTAACTGCTGTTTAAAATTTCCATATACTACTTTTATAATTGGCATGGGGAGGGCTAGATTCACAAAGGACTTAGTCACCTAACTGCCTCTACAGCAGTGGTGGATTAGCCACTGGGTCAATGAGGCCTGTGCCCAGGGGCCCCAGCCAACTGGGGCAGACCCAGAAAAAAATTTGCTGCCAGGTGGTGGAAGCCCAGAGCCTGGCTGCTGGGTGGGCAGGAAGGGCAGGGTGGGGTGGAGGAAGTCCTCGTGCCCCGACACCTCTCCCCAGCAGAAGCGCTGGGCGGGCGGAGTGGGGGAAGTCCCCAGTGCCCTGTCCCCGGCAGAAGCCACAGGGCAGCAGGGGAAGTCCCAGCACCCGTATCCCCTGCTGCAGCCCTGGGACTGGAGGAGTCTCGCTACCTGCTGCCGCCTCAGGGTGGGGGAGCTCTCACTCCCTGCTACGGCTCGGGGCCATGGCGGGGGGACAGAGCTTCTCTGGTCTTGGGGCCACAGTGGGAGGGGGGCAGAAGGGGGGAGACCATGTGTGGAACAGGGGCATGGCCCCGGGAAGGGGCAGAAAGGGATGGGGCTGTAGGCGGGGCCACAGATGGAAGAGACAGAATGAGGGCGGGACCACAGACTGAAGGGGTGGGGAGGGCCCCCCCCACTTGCTCTGACCCAGGGCCCCAGGAAACCTTAAGCCACCTATAGGCACCTAAGTCCAACATTTAGGCACCACTGACATTCACAAAACCACCACAGCTCAGATGCAGGTTACTGTGTTGTTTTTGAAGATATAAAAAGTAAAAAAAAGTGAAATTGAACACCTGCCACCCCCATAAAAATAACTTTCATATCTGCCAGAATCATGCAGTAGGCTGTTCTCTAGTCAGGACCTCCTGAATACTATCCCATAAGGCACAGTATATGGCATGTCAAATAAAGAATAAAGTCCATTGGTTGAAAATGTATCCTTATCTTGTATTACCAATTGTAACTACTGTGTGCTGGTTAACATTGTAATTTATGAATAGCACTATGTGATAATGTTGCATTTGTATGTTATTGTTTTCCAGATGGGAGTTGCTGTTGTGGACTCTGCTGTTGCTGGATTAGGTGGCTGTCCATATGCGAAAGGTGCTACTGGTAACGTAGCCACGGAGGATGTGCTATACATGCTTAATGGGTTAGGGATAAATACGGTAAACTATTGCACATTTATGTTAGCATAGCTACATTTCTAAATACTGTCAGTCACAGTATGTTTGAATACCATAATAGTATTGCTGTCAGGGAGCTATTTGTTGTATCATTTACGAAGATTATATTTGATTACAATACACTGAGATTTGTAGCTGAAAAGCCCTTGAATATGACGTGCAATAGACTGGTGAGAGGAGCTGCTGAACAGGCAGGCTTAACCGCTCAGGAGGCTGATCCAACGCTGACTGATAGCAATTGGAGTCTTTCTACTGACTTTACTGAGCTATGGATCAGGCCCATCGTGATTATGGGACTAGGGAGTAGTTTCATTCATCTGGCTTCAGATGTGAAAAATACAATTGTGTTTTACACAATATTTGGGACTGACCTGTTAAACATTTACCACACGGACTAATTCAATATCCCTTCAAGCCACTGTAAAACCATCACATTATTGTTCACAAAAGTGAGTTATGTGATGGTGAGATTAACTTGCTCCCCAGCTGAAGACCCAGTATGTTGTGTGTGACACTGAGTTTCTACTAACTGGAGCAATAGGACACACAATTTGACTTTGGAACACAGATGTAAATGGTAGCATAAAAAACACAGTCACTGTGGTTTCAGATCTAGTATGGTACACAAACTGTCCTAACTGCCTCCGTCTGTGGTTCAAGGCTGTCTCTTTTATTTCTGTCTGTATGCAGGAAAAACAGTTACAAAGTTTTCTTTGAGACACCGGCTTTATATGTCTATCCATGCCTTTGTCACCTCCAGATTAAACTACATGGTGCTCCTTGCATAGGGCCATGTCTTGGGACCATTCAGAAATTGAAGTCAGGGAAGAATGCAGCTTTCTGTTTATTAAGTAGTGGTGCACACACAGGGCCGGCTCTACTGTTTTTGTGCCGTTGAACATAGAAGCTGCCGCCGAATTGCCGTCGCGGCGGAAATGCACATGCTGCCCTAATGGCACACGGACTGTCCCCGCCATCCACGGTGGCAATTCGGCGCGCTGCTTGGGACGGCAAAAACACATGGACTGCCGCCCCCTTGCAGATTGCCGCCCCAAGCACCTGCTTGGTATGCTGGTGCCTGGAGCTGGCCCTGTGTATACAAAAAGCACATTACACCTGTCCTTAATGAACTGCAGTGCCTCTCAGTTGGTTTCCAGAAGAAGTTGAAGGTGCTGATTTTTATCTATAAAACCCAAATGGTTTGGGATCTTACAACCTGACTTCCATTTGTAATCTGTGGAGATGCTCACACTAAGAATACCCTGGTTTAAAAGAGGGGGTGGTGGTTAGTCTTTGGGGCAGTTTTGCACTACAGATGTGTCTTGACTAATGTTCTAAAACATCAAAGTCCTTGGCTTCATTTCTACACTTCTTGGGCAAAATGCCCATTGATTTCAGATTTTGCCCATATAATATTTTCCTATAGCTCTGCCAGGTGAATTATTCAAGCAAAAATATTCAACAAAGCCCATGACCGTATGAAATTGGTCACAAATCTTTTGAGCAAATATATCAGTAAGTAAGTCTGAGTCATCTTAAGGGAGTTTAACTGGCACCGTCTTTGTATTTGGCCCGAAATATTTACATGGAATCCTGTGAAGCAAAATTTCCAAGTTTCTCAAACATCCCTCTAAGCCTTTTCCATATTGCATCCCCTTCTGCAACAGAAAAAAGTCCATTGCCCTTCCACCTTAGCCGTAAAGAAAGAGAGGATGGTTATAGGCCCAGGTTGAAAAACCATTGCTCGGATAGGCTCCCATCTTAATGTGTAAAGAGTCTAGTCCCCACAGAGTACATATTTGCATTTATTTCACAGTACCCTATTCTGTGGTGTGGGCTCATCACCCTAATAGTCTGCTAATATTTCACTATTTTTATATGACAGCACATATTGACATTATGTATAACCAAATGTTTCTCTGTGCAAAGAACTGCTCTGTTTTCATTTCAGCTGTGTCCTCATGCTCTCATTTTGTTGACTAAAATGTGAGCCAATGGATGAATGGCTATTTGAGGCTTCATTAGTGCTCTCTCATTGGCCATGTGCATCAGAATAATAATTAATGCTTGTTTTATAGTGTTCTCCAGAACGATTAAACAACATGATAATATGAAGTGAATCTGTAAGAGTCTGTCCGCAAACACGTTGCTTGGTAGTACAATGATAAATGGGCAGTTCAATGTCACACGTGATTAATGGTCACAAAGGTTTCCAGCGAGACATGCATCTTATGCAAAGAAACAGTTTTTATATGGTTCAGATATAATTATAATAATAGTACCTGCTCTTATGATGCCTTCCCCATGCTTAACAAACAGTAAGCCTCAGAAAAACTTCTGAGAAGAGGTAAGTACCATTATTGCCATTTTATAGATGATGAAGCTGAAACTCAGAGAGATTATAGTCCTGGTCCTCACAAGTGCTGAATAAGAACTGATTTACTGGAGTCAATGGGAGTTATAGGAGTTTGGCTTCTGGGCGGAGATGGTTCGCTTCTTGAAGGATCAGACTCTATGTCACTGCCCAAAGTCACACCGAAAGATCATGGAAAAGCAGCAGACTGGCTGGTACTTCATCCCTCTCAAGGTATACAGTCATCTAGTTTAGGCATATGGCCAGTCCCACAATCCTCCTGCACACATGGAGTGGTCAGCAAGCATACATATATGAATTCTTCTGTATCTGCTCTGAGCTATATTGTCCTAGCTCAGAGATCTGACATGCATCTATCCCTGCCCTTTCTCTCCTCTCTGACCCTCGCACACTCACACTCCTTTATGTGACTCATGAGAGTAAGGTCAGAGTTTTGCCCTCTGTGTGTAAACCATCTCTTATGAAGTATTATTGTTCATGAATGTCTTACAATATAAATGTAAAACAGAAAAGAGACCATTTGAACAGCACAGGCACTAGCCTAGACACCCCATGCAAAATGTGCATGTTGTTTTATTTAACACATCTAAGCATGTGTTTCTTGTCAACACCTACTGTACTATTAAATATTCATTACAATGTTGTAAATTTGGTATGTTGTTGGTCTCCCCAGAAACCTGCCTACCAAGTCTATCTATGATGGCATGTTTCTTATTTCTATCACATATAACAAAGACAGATGGCGCAAGGCTGATTGAAACTTTATTCCAGTTAAAAATGGCTTTTTGATTAAATGGAAATTTCTATGAGAAAATTTCCATTTTTGTTGAAAATTTTCACTCATCGAATTGACTATTTAAGGCAAAGGTTAATGCAAAGCATGCAAGTAAATAGGCTAAAACGGGATGTGCATGGTTTAAGGGACTGGTAATGAGGCAGGAAACATTTTACTTCTAGGTCAGTGATTTTATTCTACCCTAACTTGATAGTAACCAAAATCACCAATGTTTTATGGGCTCTCTCTTTTTGTTTGGTTTGGGGTATTTTTGTTTGTTTGTTGGGTTTTTTTTTTTAGCCTATGTAAAATGAGTTGCTTATACAAGAAAGAATGTGTCTTAGCAAGGAGAGATTAGTCAGTTGTGATTCTCCATACAATTGTAATAGTAATATAAATGGTAATTTTCTATAGAAGAGAGAATCTCCAGGGAAGAGCTGACAGTTATTATATATGTATTGGAATGTATATGTTATGTTATGGAATCCCACTTTCTGTAACTCCATGCCATTTTCCAAATCTGTCAATGGGATACTTTTCTTACAAATTTGATCCTTCAAAGAGTACTATGAGAGGTAAACAAAGACATATTTATATGAATTATTCAGCAATTTCATTTTGAGATGTATTACTAGAATTCCTCGCTATTCCCCATTTTTTTTTTAGTACAGGGAATTTTTTGCAAAGAAGAATCTTTTAAAATGGGAAAAATAATTTGTGTGACTATTGTAGTAAGCATTATGAGTCAGAGCGTCACCTAGTGTAAGTTGGCATAGCTCTACTGACCTCAGTTTACTCCAACTAAAGATCTAACCTTTTTTCTTCAAAATAAAAGATTGGATTGCAATGAAGAACGAAGTGGGTTTCTTCTAGAAATTACAGCCCTGGAGAGCAGTTCACCAGTGACATAAGCATTATCAATATACATATTTTAATACTATAAATTAAATTAACTTCTTTTCTCCCCCCCATGTTTTAGGGAGTGAATCTTTACAAGGTGATGGAAGCTGGTAACTTCATCTGCACGGCTTTGAACAAGAAAACAAATTCTAAAGTTGCACAAGCTTCCTTCAGTGTTTGAACTGTAAATTAAAATGTTCTTTCTGCAATACACATTGTCAAAGAGCATTTACATAAAGAAAATCAATTGCAAAACCTTTTCAGTCGAGAAAAAAAGAAAGCATGCTATAGCTGTTCTTTATGGAAAGAGTAACTGTGTGTTAGGATAATACATCTTGCCAAATGTTATTTTGGGGAAATAATACAGCATTGCAAATAATAAATATCATGTCTATCAATACAAATTCATGTACTTGATAGTTTTAAAAGTAAGCAAATCAGCAACTTACTGTCTATTTAAATGGCCTTTTAGCTTGCTTTAGAAAAAATTCATTACAGAGTTCCACAAAAAGTGAATACATTGGTAATTCTTAATCAAGCTGACTTTTAGTACAGTACAAATATTTGAAGTAGTTTATGAGATCCCACATTGTGTGTGGCCTGGCTATTATGTGTTTTATTTCTCTGAATCTCCACTTTTCATTTGCCAAGTCAATTATGTTATGAACGTGGAGCCCAATCTGAATTTACTGTAAGTAGTTTCTAGCCATAGCACTTTTGTATTTTTACAATGGTTAACATCTGTTAAATATATGAATGACTTTATCTTGTTCCAAGAGTTTGTGATGAATAGCAGCCTGCCATATCCTGCAAATCTAGTGCAACCTCTCTTATTTGTTACATACATTAAATTCACTGTAGTTGCCTTTTTCATCAGCTGTTTTAAAAACCTGATTAATTATATCAAACAATGAAAAGAAGACAGGATATACTCTTTAGTGTAGCACACTGGGGGTAATTAGATTTTTGTGCAAAAGCCTCATGCACCAGTTGACATTTTATTTTATGATCCCCAGATTATCATTCTCACTCATTATCACAGAACCTGTCTTTCTGGGGATGTTGACACCTATGACTGACTAGTTTACACAGAGTGAGCCATCCACAGCCTCCCTCTAAGCTTTTGTGAATTTGGTACTGTACCTGTAAATGTCTGAGTGCAACAAAATGCCAGTAAACTGCACCATCATCGGTAAATCAGCAATGGACAATTTAAAATAACTGTCTCATTGTTTCTGTAACCTGTTCAAATCATCCATGAAACTACTGTAATCTTCTTGCCTGAAACATCAGTTCTTTTACTGTGTCTGTCTACACAGCCTTCTTCAGTCTCTGTATCTTCATTATGTATCTGCTCTTGATCTGAATTTTGTTAGAAAGCAAGCTCTTAACACAAAACCCAAAAACCTGGGCTATGATTTTTTCCCCATTGATATATACTCAGCTCTTCTCAGAAACATGAAAATTTGGAGAAGGATGAGATTTTAAAAAAGTGAAAGATTTACATGAAAAGAAAGAAGAAGGTAGGCTCACAGTTGTCTGCAGCCCAACTCTGTCAGACTACAGCACTCTTACTTGTGCCATTATCGCATGTTCTGGGGTTGTGCCATGGTCTGAACCAACTTGATTATGAGACATCCAGGTTGTCGGCTGATGTCACATATGGTTGGAGTTTGGTGGCTACTACTCTCCAAATTATTTTGCCCAGGAATGTGGGGGTTGGAGACAGGATAGTCATTGGAGAGGTCTTCTTTGGAGAGGTCTTTCTGGCAAGTGTTGGCTTCCTGAGGACTGGGTGAACTATTACTTTTTTTCCAGGAGTTTGGTAGCTGTGCTTCTCTGAAGCAGGCATAGATTATTTCCATTAGTAGTTCACGTAGTTCTTCTTCACTATCTTTTACCAGCCTGGAGTCTCCTGGATCCATTCCACAGACTGTGGCTTTAATATTTTTCAGGGCTACCCTGCTTTGGCATCAGATACAGTTCAGTCTTTACAGGTGGCTGGAAATTGGCCTTGAGTTGGCACATTTATATGTTAGTTTAAAATCTAACCAGACATCATTGAAAATAAGATTCAGGAAGGAGCCGTAATATGAGTGCTCAATCCAAGGGTTGCAAAACCAACACCACCACCCCACCCCCAACACATAGGCTCATGAGCAGGTCTGGGGGTGGTTGTGATCATCTTTCCTTACTTTATTGCTAGATGGAAGAGGTTGATAACATTTGCTCACCATTGTAATATGGGATCATGGAATGCAGCTTGAGAATCACTGAGGTAGAATTACTACTATTTTGCTCCATGCTATAGAAATGAACCACTTCTACGGCAAAGGGATAGCTTATGTAAGATACGACTGTTTTCTCAGAGGGTTATTTTAAGGGGAGGGAGTGTGGCCTAGTGATCAGATCTGTGGTCTGGGCGCTAGGATTCTGTTCCCAGCTGGATCACTGGCTCACTGTGTGACTTACCAGGTTGCTCACCTAGTGCTGTGAGGTTTTCATTAATTAATATTTGTAAAGCCAGTTGGAATGTTCAGAGCACAGAATTAAAAAAAGTATCCAATCTGAGAACTGTCCCAGCAACATTTCCCATTTCCCACATGCTTGACTTGTTAATTATTTTTATTTATGCATTTATTTATACTATATTTACTAAATGGAAACATTTTTTCTTCCAATCTCCCATTTCCTGTTTCAGTTAACAACTGCCATCAAGATCCTAATGTCCTAGCAGGAGGGCATGATTAAAACCAATGTTAATGTAGCCCTTTGGATCATCCTCCAGAGACACGGTATATTTGCTGAAGAACTGTCACCAGCACGGTTGTACTGGTTAAATGCACCTATTATTTTGCAGTGCATGGCATTAATCTTAAAGGTGAAATAAAACATATCTAAATGTTTGTTGAAACAGATACGCTGATGTATTACGACATGCTAGATTCAGCAACTCCAGTTAACTAAGTCACACGTAAGGCGTTAGTAAATATCAGCTGTCACTCCATCACATACTCTAATGTTTACGCCGGTAAGGTGTAATCCATTCTGAGTGCATTTGCTTGTGATTACCTTTATTATCAGTTGTTCCAATCTGCTTTAATGGAAAATGATACGCAACTGATGAATCTCTTCTAAGTTACCATAGAAACATATTTCTTCCCTCCATTAACTAAGCATTAACTATGAGATCTTTGATAACTCAGAATATTCCTCTGTAAAGAAATATTCAAGTTATGGTAATCAAAGTTGATTCAGAGTACCACTCTCAGATCATTTAAATTTTCTTTTCAATTTTTATTTTTGAGCTTCTCTCTATATCACAAATGCAGAGCAAACATTTTCATTCCTGTTTTTATATGAGCTAAAATCACTCAAATTACCATCTGAGCCTGTACCCAGTGTCATCAATGGTAAAACAATTGTACATTGTAGTGGGTGCCTGAACACATCCTAATACTTTATACTATACACTGAGGTGGAAAATATGTTCTGGATCACACGTGTGACCTTCTTAGTGGTTTTTTTTTTTTTTTTGCAATTACTCCAAAAACTGCATGATGTACATAATAAATTGCAAAGGTACTTCAGGTGTCTAAGGGATTTTAATACCTTTAAAACTGAAATTGCTGCTGGCTGGGATTCTCAGTTGATTATCTATTACTAATGTATTTAATATAATAGATATTTAATATATTTAAACTAGAAGAAGTGACATTAGGAATCAGTAGCATGGTAAATGCCTAATCAGTGTATTCTCCTGTTGATGCATTCATAATTCCCAATAAAATGAATAATTATTTATGTTTTGCATACGTCTTTATTGTAGAAGACAATAGAAAAGTGTACATTTTAATGGCACCTGTCATAGGAATCATTAAAATCTCCAAGAAGCAAGTTAGCAAGGAACCCATTTTCAGGAAATCATCAGGGCCAGATGGTTTTCACCTAAGGGGTTCTTAGGAAAATAATATATGAAAAGCACAGGAAATAATTCTAAAGAAAACAAAGGACAAGAATTATACAATGTAGTGAAATGCACCTCAGTCCATAGGGCTTGAACAGGGCCCTGTAGAACATGTAAAACCCATGATAGAAAGGATAAATTTTTCATATCAGATGGGCCTAAGTGGTATGTAGGGCCCCCAGCCTTGAAGACTGGAAAATCTCTAAAATGGTCTATATCTTTAGAAGGCAACTAAAAGAGATCACAGGACTATAAAAGCAGACTGTATCTTGCCACCTTTGCATTCAACAGGAAGGTTTCCACTGACTTCAGTGAAAGACAGAGGAGGCCCTAGAGTCCTGGAAACTAATGAGCGTCTAATTAAGGAGAGAATAGTAGACTACGTGGATAAATAAGCTCTGCCATGGCCAAACAAATATGGTGGCCTGGATCCCCAGTTGGTGTAAATTGTCATCATTCCATTTAATTCAACAAAGCTGTGACAGCTTACACCAACGATCTCCCTTCACTTCTCTAATGGAAAATCATGCTTCTCTCACCTGTTCTTTGAAAGTGTTACTACAACAAAATGTTAACATAGGTGACCCAATAGACATAATGTAATGCTAATTTTCAAAACACTTTTGATAATATTCTTTAAATGGGGACTATGACAGATAAAAGGAAAAAAGTCTTATTGAGTAAAAACATGCTACATAATAGGAAATAAAAAGTCATAGTGAATGGCTAGTCCTCACAGTGGAGAGAAATTAATAGTGGGCTATGACCAATTTAATATATTTATTAATCTAGGGCAGTGATACTCAGACCCCAGTGGTTCAGGAGTCAAAGTAGTGATCAACATTACCCAAAAGAGCCACAGTAGTGTGAATGACAGGGCAAATATTTAGTTTATATATATAAACTTAGATTGGTTAATAATTAAATCACTGTATTTTAATATCATGTGCTGCAAAGAGATGTTAAAAAGCCACTTATGGCTTGAGAGCTACAGTCTGAGTATCACTGATCTAGGGTTTTATAAGGTCAACCATCACTGTGATATTTGAATGCCTTAATAGACTTGAATTTTCAGGGAAAATATTTGAGTCATTGTTGGACAAGTTAAAAAACCATACAATGCCTGGTAATATTCGAAAAAAGGATCCAAAGCAATACAAAGGATATTGTAATAAGATTGCATACAACAATATACCCATATTTAGAGTATTGTGTCTGGAAGTCAAACTTAAAATGCTTCTATTTGTTTGAAAAACTTTCTTGGCTGAGGGATGTTTTCTATCCATATAAGTACTTGTAGAACTGGTAAAAATGTACAACCCAGAAGGAACAAAAATTGTATCTGAAATGCAAATTTTGAAAAGGCCTGGAGAAAAGCAACAAATACGTCCAATATGGAAAACATGCAATATGGCCTGAAAAGCAGGAATGTTTAAAGGGATCTAACCGAGATATTTGCAGGCTATGTCTGCCTAGGTTTTATACCAAGCTCACCATTGTGCTGTCTGAACATCTATCAGAATTATGAAGTAAAAATCAATCAGTCCCTGAAAGTAGTATTTGCTTGGTGTGGCTCTGCAACCACATTTTCACTTTAGGAAAACTTGATTCTGAGTTTAAACTGCCCGGTGACAGTTTTCAGATTTAAGCTACTCTACAGCTGCACATGCAATGGTCTACATGCCAGGATAAAAGTCTACTAATGAAGTTACAACTTTCACTCTGTTTTTATAGGCTCATGCTTTAAGTGCTGAATATCAGGGATCTGATGACCAAAGTAGGGGGCACACGATAAAAACGATATGATTATTGTTACCATGCCCTTGGAGCATTGTATTCACTGTAATCGTGACCAGCCTATCCCCTACTCACAATCGAACAGCAATCACAAGCTGACCCCAAAGGACTATTTTGCGCTAGAGAATGGATTGAAATGATGATTAAGCTACTTGAATACCTGTGTATACAGCAGACATTTGTTTATTTAATAATTTATCCTACTCTTCAGAAGTTTACAACCAGAAAAGGTACAATTACCCTAACAAAGCATCAGGCTAAAATACAAAGCCAAAAGCAGCATGATACAGAAATTTCATACACATCTCATGAAGATACTGTAGTCTACCATTAAGCATTTGTGACAGCACTAGTTAACATAGCCAGTCAAGTTATCAAAGTAACACGATATCCACTAAACTTTTGGTATCCATTCTAAATAAATTGGGGGGGGGGGGGGGGAAGGCAGATAAAGGAACATATTCAGGTTGCTTAAGGCCCTAAAATTAGGTGGTTTTAAATTTTAAAAAAATTACAAACCTAAAGCTTAGCAGAAATATTTACATGGTTCTTTTGTTTGAATAAAAAGAGATTTTTACAATCTGAATTTAAATGTAGCCCTGCAAGTTTTTGCATACATGCTCTTCAGCATGTCCTGAAGTCCAATGTCCTGTATAACTAGTGGATGGGAGGCAGACAGTCAGATTGGAAACAAAACTGAGATATGTGTCTTTCCATATGTGACTCCATTAATGCATCATTTCTTTTCTAAAGTATGGAAATATTAAATATGCTAATACTAGTGGTAGCATAGTTCTGAGCTTGGTCTTTTTACACCATAATTTTAAGGCAACAGTGATATTCTAATATGTAATGCCCACTTCGTAAATGCTGGTAATTGATAGATTGATCTAGAACTGTCTTTTAATTAGCAAATTAACTACCTTTCCTATCAATTTGTGTTTCTGTTTGTGTATCTGTACTAGTGTTGATTTAATAATATGATTGTATTTAATTCAAACTAATAAAATAGGAAGGAAATTATTCTAACTATACAGGCCTCAAAGAGAGAAAAAAAGGATGGCTAATAATTAGTGAAACTTCTACAGTTACCTAACATAGGTTTTGCATACATAATAATTTTGCAGTCTTTTGGCCAGTCATTTTACAATCCACTAAAGCCAGAAACAAAAGTGTGTTTGAAAGGAAGGATTCCTGGCTTTCTAATAATGGTAGAAAGCTCCCATTCCTAGCCCTGATGGGTTGCAAGATATCGGGGATAAAATCCTGGCCTCAGTGTAGTTAATGACAACACTTGCATTGAATTCAATGGGGCCAGTATTTCAATCCAGATGTTAAACTTGTCACTGTATATTGTTGTAGTGGGAAGCAGAGAAAGTCAAAATGCATGATAAATACAATTAATTTACCACATGGATATCACTGCCACATAGACATATGTGGTGGCAGTGTCATAGAAACACAGGAACTCCAGAAAAATTTGATTTTGTGGAAACCACATTCAAAAAAACATTTCAACATAAAATTACTGTTCAGCTCTATTTATCTGTGTGATAAGTTGTAGAGATGTGATAAACTGTATTTATCATGCAACTTCGAACACCTCATCTACACTCTGCTTACTAATCCATCTTTGCAAAAACTAGTTCAATTTACGTTAGCAATGTCAAGGAACTGCCATTTAAAAATAAAATTACCACCAGTTATTAAACAAATTATCTTGGCCCGAGGCCTATGCCACTATTCAGTCTGCAGTCAGTGAACGGTTTAAGGTGTGATATCTTGTTTCCCAGGTGTGCCAGAAACAGGAGTACCTGATAACGAAGATTTCCAGGTTCTACTCCTATGAGTGGAGTAGACCTTACAATCTTGATATTATTATGTACAGAATAACTAATTTAAAAAGTTTAGACATTTCTAATGTGTATTTGTGATTAATTTCTTTCTCAAGGGCTGGACATTTGCACTCATAATGCTAAGGTTGTCTAGGTGTGGGGATACAAAAAATAGTACCAGTAACATTCATAGATTCCAAGGTCAGAAGGTACCATTGTGATCATCTAGTCCAATGTCCTGTATAAAACAGACCATAAGAACATCTCCTACATAATTCCTGGAGCAGATCTTTTAGAAAAAAATCCAATCTTGATTTAAAATGGTCAGTGTTGGAGAACCCACCCTTGGTAAATTGTTCTAATGGTTAATTACTATCACTGTTAAAAATGTACATCTTATTTCTAGTGTGAATTTGCCTCACTTCAATGCCCAACCATTGGGTCATGTTACATGTTTCTGTGCTAGATTGAATAGCTCATTGGTAAATATTTGTTCAACATTTAGGTACTTTTAGACTGCAATCAAGTAACCCCTTAACCTTCTTTTTGCCACTCTCAGCCATGGAGCTAGCCCAGATTCATGCTGATATAATATTTTTTACCACAAACCATGGCAGATGCTCAAATGGAAAATTAAACATTAAAGATTCTCCAGTGTGCAACTGTGGTCACCCACAACAGACCATGTAGCATATAATAACTCAATGCCTGAGTCACAAATACAAAGGAGGCATCACAACTATACACTCTGCTACTCTAGACGCACTTATCTGGATTAACCATCTGAATCTAAAATTATAGTTGCTGTTCTACCTTTCCACCAGCCATACGAAGAAGAAGAATATTTTACAATCATATACTGACAGTCCAGAACTATGACAAATAGACATATACCGTATAAATCAATGAGCATGCACAGGGGAGTGAGTGAGTGCAGTTTTACATTTTTTCCATTAGGGAAAGATTTTGTACCTGTAAGTAAATATAAAACTCATACTCTCAACCACAAAATCCCATCACAAACTAGACTTTACAACATACATTTTATTATGACATATCCACAACAGGCTGGCTACCAAGAATAGCCTTAAAGAGAGTTTGCCACAATGTTGATTATCTATGACTGTTAATGGACCATAAGAATCTCAGATGAATGAACTGGTGAGGGATTTCTTGATGGATATGTTGCTCTGCAGGCTCTGAAAGCAGAGAGTGAACGTTTATTTAATAGTGCAGTTATACGGCTTTTGGGTGGAATCTTGGTTCCTTTGAAGTCATTCACAAAACTCCCACTCGAGTTCAATGGAACCAGGATTTCAACCCTTATATTTGCAATGAGCATTGTGGGATAAAATCATTCCCTTCACAGTAATTAATGTACTTTCTTTTATATTGTTTGTACCTGTGTTTAATCCCATTTTATTTATACTCTGATGGACAGTCTCCAGTCACTGCAAACCAGAGATATGAAAATAAATAAACTGTATTCCACATATCCTTGACTTGTCTTTTGCAGCTTTCTACAAAATTCCTCTTTGATCTCTGTCTCAGAATTTAATAATGAAATTTCATGCAACACCCTACCACTATATCTCTTGCCACCTTAATTCTGTTCCCCATCCTTTGACATTGTGTGTCTTGAAATCTGGCCATTTAATCTGGCCCAATAAAATGCATCGTATTTAACTTGTGTATTTAAACAATAAACATTTGTGCACTTGACAAAGTTAATGTGTATTTTTTGTTTTGTTGCCACATTGTAAGATACAATGTGGTACATCCTTCACTCTGACAATTTGCCACAGAACCCCCATTAACAATAATGGGACCTGCACTGATAAAAAACTCCACTCATGGGTTTGTGAACTTATCCCAAGGTGAGTATTCAACCTGTTCATCCCCTGTTTGCCAGAAGAATAGGGAAGTATTCCTGCTCTCCCCCAACATTTTGCACACAGGTTTCACCCTCACTTGAGATGGAAAGGGAAGCTGGAAAATGGAGTCCCTTTTGCTAAGCACAGTGCATTATTGATGTGCATAAAACAGCTTTCCATGCTGAGTCTCCTACGTCTGACAGGGTGGACCAGGTGGGTACCGGAAGGACTAATTCATTCTATCACTGTACTGCATTTTAAACACACCTACAAAGGTAGAGTCAAAATGTGAGGAAAATAACTCTCATGAATGCCAATTTCCTAATACCAAAGATTTGTAACTTTGTCAAATTACCTGGTCTTTAGAAGAGCCACCAGGACTATTCCCAAGATGAGTACTATGCAAGAGGTATACGCAATAATATAGATTATTTCACCTACGAATAAAAAAATAGAAAATTACACAAGAACTGTATTGTTTTAGTAGTAAGGATTCTTCCCTCTCCTGCTGTTGCAAAAGCTTTCACATCCACCCTGCAGTCAGTTGGCAAATATCCACTCCAACAGCATTTCATATATATAGGGCTACACTCTATCCCACATGGAAGTTTATGGTGGTGCAGCATTTGACATCCTGCTAGGTAAGTGGTGTTTTTCCATGAGCACATTACACCTGGCTATCTGTTTGATTCCAGGTTGTTGTTAAGATGTTGGTTTTAACCTAAAAAACACAAATGGCCTGGGACCTACCTATCTAATAGACACCCCCCAACGCACCATGGCATATTACCACAGTTGGAGGGGCACCAGAGCAGGAGCCTCATTGGTATAAAGAATTCATGGGCGGCTGGCAGGGTATTCTCTGTTCAGGCCCCGTGCCTTTGGCATTCTCTCCTTCCCATGAGCCTCTATCCAACAAATCCCATAAGCATGTATTTAATGTGACTCCTTATGTGCTGAAAATTAAATATGTGCATAAGAGATTTGCTTGGATCAGGGCCTGGGTCTGTAAAAGCCTACATTCAATATTGCTAAACCCAAGCATTCAAAGAGAACACATCAGACCACCTCCCAAATCATAAGATTGCTCAAAAATAATGAGATTTGAGAAAATAATCCATTTTGGGTTTTTCTTATTTGCTTTCTGCTTTCATAGACATTTTTGATTTTTTGAATGAAAAAATTCAAAACAAAAAAATGCATTTTTTTTGTCAAAGAAATCCAAAAATTACTCATAACTGAACCGTTTTCATGAAATAGTTCAATTCTGGTACAAAAAAATTTGGACAAAAAGATTTGGTTAAAAATGTTCAGTTAGCTCTAGTGGCAAAACGGCATAGTTGTTAACCTTGAGGTCATACTGCAAGGCCTAGCTGTTCTCCTTGGTTTCCAAGAAATGGGGGATTTGGGAGTCTGGGTAGTGGCAGGGTACTCTTCAGTGGGGCAGAGGGGTGGTTGAAGAGCTTAAACTTCTTTCTATATGTTTGCTGTGGCTTGGGTGTTATACTGGGTTAATTGCGGCTTTTAAAAAAAGTCGTCAAGGGTGCCCAGAGCCTGGGATAGACATTCTTTTGAAAGAATATATCTATTATATATACACAGATACCCTCCCCCATAAATATACTTTACAGAGAAGTCAGATTCGAAATATATGTGCAATTAACAAACAAAAAAGCACAATAAGAGGGGAAACAAATTGAGATTAAAGAAATATGTGGTTAAGTTTCCACACAGAGCTCTCATGCGATGTCCCCACTCACTGTCTGCTAATGGGCAGACAGGTATATCATTGGAATTAAAACAAGTTATGGAACTTTTCACATCATGAACAGCAAATGAAAATGTCATAGATTATGCATATGTGCTGGTTCCAGCCCCTACTCCATGAAGAAATAATAGTCTCCGTTTCAATAAATATTGTGGGAGGGGGAGAGATAGCTCAGTGGTTTGAGCATTGGCCTGCTAAACCCAGTATTGTGAGTTCCATCGTTCCATCGCCACTTAGGGATCTGGGGCAAAATCAGTACTTGGTCCTGCTAGTGAAGGCCGGGGGCTGGACTCAATGACTTTTCAAGGTCCCTTCCAGTTCTATTAAATAGGTATATCTCCATATATTATATTATACACTGGTATCTTCAACCTTGTATGTGTAGTATAGCTGGGATAAAGTTGTAAATCTGGTTTGTGTCTGTAGGTTGGTGTTGCCAGCCATACTGGGAGGATGAGTGAAGTAAGTACAGGGATTTCTATTCTGTATGTGGAAAGTGAATGGAATAGATTGCATTTACTCGTTCATAGTTGAATGGTGGATGGGGAGGGTAAAACGTCAGCTGTTCTGATCTCAGCTATTACAGTGTTTGGAGTAATGTAAGTACCTACATAGACCTAGCGCTGAGTGACCCTTTTTGGCCAAAAAATGCAGAATTCATGTCAAATTTGCTGAATTGTTTCAGCTGAAAAAGATTCTGAAAAATCTGACTGTTTCATTTCAACATTTTTGAAAGGAAACACTGCGATTTTCTGAGTCAAAACAGTTTTGTTTGACCTCATATGATTCTTTTTAGACTTTTCAGCACAGCCAGCAAACCAAAAATATCCATTATTTGCACCGCTTTACATAGATTGACCGTTTCCTGAGTCATTACAGGAGGCAGGGTTGTGAATGACATGTGTCTGCTGCCCTGTGAAATGTTGGGATCTCTAACCACAATAGGCTGGTGGAGTGGCAGAGAATCTGGTCTGTAGCTCGCTTACTGTGGTTGTGTGGTAATTCTCAGGGCACTTCCGGCATGTGGGCTACAGACCTTCACTAGCCATCCCCTTGCACACTTCCTGTTTGTAGTGTGGGAGAGCATAGTGGCAGTATGTAGACTATATAGGAAGTATAGGAAGAGTTAGTTGTATAGATGTAAGAAGACATCTGACTGCAGAAAGAGGAAATGAGTTTTTCCAGTGCATGGAACCAATCCTCAATGGTATTATTAGTGTGTGTAAAGCTGCTTATATTTGTGTACATGAGAGGATGATCTTGACTATTCATTGGATGGATTAGTGTTTATGAGGGTTCCTCACAACAAGTTGTCTCAGGGTCATCCCCCCCCCCCATTTATAAAGAATGAAGTTTACAGTTTTATAATTTACAAATTAAAGTCAGTGAAGCTGAACTAATCTCAGTTCCCACAACATCTACTCTACTTATAAACCATGTCAATTGCTTGTTTATCAGGACACTCACTACTGCAGAGCTACATATTAGGAAACAGCTGATATCTCTGTATACTAATAGCAAAATAATATTAATATGCCTAGCACAGTTTTTATTGTTTCCCAAAGAAATAGATCAAATTTCTGCATTCTTAACTTCCCCTCTTTACAAAACATCCTTTGCACCCAAAGCTCTGGATCGAGCAAAGTAAAATTTTATCTTCACACATGAATATTTTTTCAGATTAAACAGTAATCACTAATCTCTTAAATGATCTGGATCTACAAAACTGTGGAGGACAATTTGCATAGGTTAATGTATCAGCCATGCCAGTGAACTGTATTTCAACAAAATGTGTCTGCTGATGACGGTAACAACCTTTTATAAATTGTTTTTTTGGGGGAATGTTTTAAATTCAGATACAATGGGTGAATTCCTGGCTCCATTGAGATCAATAGAAAAACTCCCACTGACTTCAGTGGGGCAATGATTTCACCCAGTATGTACCATGATAATGGGGTAGAGACTCATTTTGAAGTTTTGTTAACTGTATATAATATACATAATGTTGTAATTGCTTTTAAGGAAGTATGGGATTAAGTCAATATGTTTTAATAATAACAACATGCGTAGTATATATGGAGCAAGAAAACTTGCCCTCTTTTATCACCACAGAAAAGTTAAAAATTCAGTACAAGACAGGTAAGAAAATTAACAAGGTTCCAGTACCATGAAGTTAAATGTGAAATTACTGCAACTCATACGGCGTGAAAAAATTTTCTTTATCATCCTTAAATACTGTTGCTAGACAATGCAGGGTCTGGAAAGCCCCAGACTTGTACTACTGTTTGCACCTGATGGGATACTTATGTGTGCAGGTGTAATGTCTCAAACATAGTTGCCCACTTGTGGAGTCACTGTAGGGGAACAGTCTCCAAATTGCACAGTATGGTTGAAATGCTGGTAAATTAAAAACTGTCCATGCTGGTGATAAGTATTGTGTGGTGGCTGATGAGCACCACTTCTAATATGGACCCAGGGAGTGTTATTTAATTGGATTATGTTCTGTTTCACACCTAAATTTCCTGTGGTTATAAATGGAAAGATTTGTATATTTTTTACTAGTTTTTTTATTTAATTAAAATAAAACTAAAGTTAAAAATTACCAAAGGATGCATTAATGGTAGAGGAAGCTTATAATGTAGGATTACACCCTGCTGTGCTGTAGCAAAGGAGGTGAGCTTGCATCCCCGGTTCATACTTTAAGCCTATTATTAATGGTGGTTCAAATGATTACTGTGGTCTTGGGAATGTGTTGCTGGATAGAAAACTTAAAAAAGGAAGCCCAGAAAAACAGAAATATAATGCAAATGAAACAAATGCTAATATAAAAAAGTAAAACAAAAGCAGTGGAATGTAGGCCTTGTTTGACATCTATTATTGGATATGGGTTAGGCTCATTTTTTGGGAGACAGGATTAGGGAGGTAAATGGATCAACAGGCGGGAAGCAGAATGTCTGTACTAGCTGAGATAAGGGGGAACACCCAAGGAACCATTTACAATGGACAAGATCACAACAGATAAGATAAGCCAGGAATGTAAGATGACATATAGAGTAAGTCCTGCATGGGCAGTGTAGGGACAGAACACGTAATACAGAAATTCCTGCAGAGTAACCAAGCCAATCCTAAAACATGTGATGCAATGTAATGTGAAAATGTATATGAAGGAAGAAGTTTGCTGTGTAACTATGTATGTGTGGTATGCCCTATACCCACCCCCTACATTTGAGTGTGATCAACAAAGTGTGGCTTTGCTGTATGCCAAATAAAGGAACCTGAGTGACTAGACTGGAGTTGAACTAAGCTCTTGGGGAAGTGAGTGAAAACAACATCTACACAGCAACCTCCCCACCCCCCCGCTCAAAGCAGTGAGTCTAATGTAGACATGCCCATAGAGCAGGGATCGGCAACCTTTGGCACGCAGCTCGCCAGGGTAAGCACCCTGGCGGGCCGGGCCGATTTGTTTACCTGCCACATCCGCAGGTTCGGCCGATCGTGGCTCCCACTGGCAGCGGTTCTCTGCTCCAGGCCAATGGGGGCTGCGGGAAGCAGTGGCCAGTACATCCCTCAGCCCGCGCTGCTTCCCGCAGCCCCCATTGGCCTGGAGTGGCGAACCGCGGCCAGTGGGAGCCGCAATCAGCCGAACCTGCGGACGCGGCAGGTAAACAAACTGACCCGGCCCTCCAGGGTGCTTACCCTGGCAGGCCGCGGGCCAAAGGTTGCCGATCCCTGCCATAGAGTCTGGCTCGATTGACTTGGGCTTGCACTGCAGGGCTAGAAATAGCAGCGTAGTTGTGCCTGGGTTAGGCTAGAGTCCGGGCTCTGAAACCCAGCAAGACGGGAGGGTCTCAGAGCCCAGGCTCCAGGCTGAGCCCAACCACCTACACACTTATTTTTATCCCGTTAGCGTGAGCTCGAGTCAGTTGACCCAGGGTCTGAGGGTATCGTTACACTGCAATAAAAGACCCGTGGCATGGCCTCACCTGGTCTGGGTCAGCTGATTCAGGCTCACAGGGCCCAGGCTGCGGGACTAAAAATTGTAGTGTATATGTAATGCTGACAGACCCTGGGTCGTCGGTGCGCGGAATTGAACCTGGGACTTTTGGAATTTAGTGCATGAGCCTCCACTGCATGAGCTAAAATCCATATGGCTATTAGTTAAGGCCATAGAGCAGACTCATTAATCTCTCTCTAAGTGGTCTCCGTGCCACTTGATGGGACAGAACACCACACCCAGGAGGTGTGTGGGTTACATAGACATTCAGGCTCAGGCTGAAGCCAGGGCTCTGGAATCTAGCAAGGGGATGGGTCTCAGAGCCCAGGCTCCAGTCCAAGCTTGAGCATCTACACTGCAATTTTTAGCCCCGCAGCCTCAGCCCTGTGAGCCCAAGTCAATTGACCTGACTTCTGCTGCAGTGTAGCCATACTCTGAGACTCACTGCCATGGTTGTTTTTTGGATTTTTTTTCCCGTATAGATGTATCTTTGGTCAACAATAAGGGTTTCGGCACTTGACTATTGCCTGCCCAGGCACTCCCACTGCATTTTCCGTTATTCTCACTCAGTTTTCAGAGATCTCAGCAGAGTTTTGCTGTGGCAGGGGAGAACAACTCAGGCCACCCAACTCTTTCCTATTCTGGCTCGAAGGAAGCCAGAATATATTGATTTTGAAGTGCAGTCAGTTGGGACTGTAGACGCTAGGTCAGTAGTTAATATCCCAGGGCAGTCCCAACATAACCAGAACCATTGGCAACTGTGCCCAGACAGTCCAAGAGTAGCTTTCAAATTTATTCAACCTAACTCAGGCTGTGTCTACACTGCGCACCTTACAGCGGCACAGCTGTGCCATAAGTTAAGCAGTGTAGCTGCTCTTTGTCGGCAGGAGAGAGCTCTCCCACTGACAAAATAAAACCACGCCCAATGAGGGTTTTACCAACGAAAGTGCAGGGTAGACAGCCTCAGATGAGATTCTTCCTCTTCCTGGGTCCTTCCCTGATCTCCCTCTCATATTTTATGTGCATAGGGTATTTGCTGCTCAGATAGCATTAGAACCAACATCATCACTGGAGGGTGAAAACTGAAGCAGTGTCAAGCAGTCTGCAGGAGTTCCAGTCATCCCGATGGATAGATGGGGAAAGGCAAAAGCTGCCAAACTGTGGGATTCTATGGGCAGGAGTGGTCCCAGCCTTATTTATAAAGTCCTATAACAAAGCTGTTTATCTGATTGCCACCAGATTTATTGACTAGATATGTTATTGGGAAGCAGCTGAGGTACGTTCTCACTTAATTTCTCACTTACTTATGGGGATTAGGTTAAAAGAAAAGTATTCCTTGAATTAAACAGGATAAATCCTGGCAATATGGAAGTATTTTAATAACAAAAGTTTTAAAAGACATCCTGTGATTTTAAAGTCCATCTCTTACTTCATAGGGAAAACATTCACTGATTCCCTCTCTCTAGACTGAATCACCTTTCCATATTACAGTTTGTAGTGAAACAGAGATGAATGAGCTAAGTGTTACTATTCAAGGTCTCATACAGAGCCCCTTGAAGTCAATTGCAAGACTTCCATTGACTTCAGTCAGCTTTTGATCAGGCCTTCGGTTGGTTACTGATTGCCTTCTCTCGTTGCTGTACCACAGAAAGGAGAAGGGAACAGCTCACACCTGCTAGGGCAGATTTCTTGCAGATCAAATGGTAAAGGTCTGTGTCCATTTTTATCAGCAGAAGGAGCAGGGTTCTTGTCTCTGCTCCAAAGATGTGTGTATGATTTATATAGCAATTGTGTCTAGTCTCTACCAGACATGGATTTGTGACCCATACTTCATTGTAAACAGATTTTCTTATTTTCTTATTTCAGTCCACATAGTTGTTTGAACTCACATTTAGAATCTAGAGTAGCAGTCATTTGTCATTACCACTAGTCTACATAAAAATAAATACAAGCTTATCAAGTGATGTTTGATTAATATCTTGGACAGAATCAAAGGTGTGCATGGTGCTTTCCAGATGTCGAAATAGGACCAGATCCCTGGCCAAAAGAATTTGCAAGAATGTCCACAGTAACTTGGCTACCTATTCCATCCTATGAGCTATTTTTAAAAAAATACAACCTTTAATTTATGCCTATCTCATCTCCTGGAACCTATGACAACAACAACAATACCTAGTTATTATAGAATTCTTTTCATCCATGAATCTTTAAAGACTTAACAAAGTAGCTGAGTATTAGGGCTTCTCTTCACTATTGGGGTAAGGTGACTTAAGTTATGCTACTCAGCTACGTGAATAACGTAGCCGGAGTCGACGTAGCTTAGGTCGACTTACCCCAGTGTCTTCACTGTGCTCTCCGGTTGACTTATCTTACTCTTCTTGGGGAGCTGGAGTACCGGAGTCGACTGGAGAGCGCTTGCCATCAATTTAACGGGTCTTCACTAAACCCTCTAAATCTACACCCGCTGCATCAATTGCAGCAGCGTTGATCGCCCCAGTAGTGAAGACAAGCCCTGAGGTCTGTTTTATAGAGGGGCAAACTGAGGTATAGAAAAGTGTAGTGACTTAACCAAGGATACACTGCATGCCAGTGCCAGAACCAGAAATAAAGCTCAGGTCTCCTGATAGCATTCCAGGGCACCATCCATTGGGCCATACTGCACGGTGTTTCATGAATGAAATTTCAAAGACTATTTCTGTGAAAATCATGAAGTTATTGCCCAAACTCACCATTAAATAAAGAATGCAACCTTGTTATGGGAAGCTTTTCTCCTGGCATATCAGTATGTATCAGCTGAAGGTCTGTCTTTCCTCTTGAAATCTGACCTGAAAACAGGAAAAAAAAATTTGATACAAGTATACTTTTTTGTACAGTAGATCAAACTGAAAGTAGCCACTATTTATAAGAGATAGCTGTTAAATAATATTGTCCCTGCAGTGAACACATGAACTAAATAGTTTGGTAAATATAAATTATTGATATTTTTATGTCTCAGTCATAGATTATTATAGATGACTTACAGGGCTTTATGGAAACAGAAATAGAAAAGTTCTCTGCCTCCAAGGTGCTTACATTCCATTTGGATAGAAACAAGACAAACAATTTTAGGGTTATGCATGTGAGTGGGAGCATACAGTCAGAGGAGATCAGGAATGGGAGTTGGTTTTTAAGCAGCTTCCCAAGGCCAAATTCTGCTCTCCAAACCCATCTCCAGACTCTTGCACCTGCTCAAAACTCACAGTCTCGGAAGGAGCAATCTCACAAATAGATCAGAAAATATATATATCAGAGTCAATGGTCTCAGTGCAAGCACAGAGGTGCACCAGAGTGCATCAGTTTACAGAGTCAGAGGCTAAGGTACCAACAGTCTCTAAAGGAGATACCGAAGCAGGCTGAGGAGCCAAACTAATTTTCCTGGGAGGAATGCAAAGAGTCTGAATGGCATGAGGAGGAGAATCTTTGTCACGGTCTAGAAAATCATTCAAATATCATTTAAATAAATCCAGCACTGGCATATTATCTCCACCAGATGCAATTAATAAGAAACATACAAATTTAAAGTTTAGAATATTTATGATACTTTTCTAATTTTTCAATTTTGGCATTGAGATATGCATTCTCTCAGATCAGTTTATGATTCTGATTCTGTACTGGTACTAATTGATGTGGTTCCTATAACACTGAAGTGGTCATTTTCAGCCCCTACCCCTTTCCTCCCAATCCTGATCCTGATGCTTACAGAGGCTATAATCCTGCAGATGGATCCCATGGGCAGACATGTATGGCCATGCACAGTCTCATAAACCAGTAGGACACCATGTGGGCTGCTTAGCCATCTGTGCAGGTCCCTTTTACAACAATAGGGCCATACTAGCATCTACCTTCTCCTCCATCAACCTTCTCCTCCTTATGTTCTTACGTTTTCCAGCATATGTTCTTATGTTCATTCTCACTAAATCTAAAGCCTGAGATTTCTTTTGTTGGCCCTATGCATTTGTTTATTAAAAAAAATCCTCATTGTAAATAATCAATAATAATGAAAGTTGTTTAAAACCCGCACACTGACCAGACTCCGAACAGACAGCAACATGAGCTTTAACAATCAATATCTCCATAATTCCTCCACCACTGAGGGTTTTAACATGGTTGCCTAACAATTTAAATTATAATCATAAAAATATCCCTCGTTGATTTAATACTACAACTGCTAGAGGTATAGAAAAATGAAAAAGGGAGATATCAATCAGCAACAATACCAAATAAAATCCCAAAGAAGCCATTTCGGCCTAGCTAACATGAAAATGTTGTTATAATATAGCACCAAGGTGATGACTCTTCATGTCCTATCAATTTGGTTAATCAAGTTTCCATGGAGGTTTTATCCTGATGCTAAAGGAAATGCTGCAGGGAATGGCAAAAGCTGATGAGGTGTTATTTGATTATTATTGGGAGCCAGGGACTGTCTTTCTGGTAGGGTGTGTGTGTGTGTGTGTGTGTGTGTGTGTGTGTGTGTGTGTGTGTGTGTGTGTGTGTGTGTGTGTGTGTGTGTGTGTGTGTGTGTGCACACGCAAAGTGGCTAGCGCAATGTGGCTATAATCATTGCCTGGAGAGTTTGGGTGCTACCACAAAACAAATGATCAGTAATTATTATTATTATACTAAGAACCACTGCTATAATTATGAATTTGTTAGCGTTATCAACACTTCTTTTCCAGGGGGTATATAACTCATTGTAAAATCTTGCTACAGTCTGAAACTTAGCAATGAAAGTCTACGCCTTGGGGCAGTGTTTCCACAATTTTATTTTGTTAGGTAGCCTGTAAGTCATATGAGTGCAAATTAAAAACAAAAGTTTTGTAGTTTTCAGCATTATAATCTCTGCTGATATAACTCAATATCAGCCAACAGTTTAAATGAAATTTTGTATCCAACTAGTCAATTTTTTTAAATTACCTTCTTTTCCATTAGAAAAGAAAACCCTTCAGTTCAAAATGCAGAAGAGTCACTACTTTTCATTAATTATGTTATAAAATATTTTATTTTACAAGTTAGTACATGGGGCTAGATTGTATGCATGTATGTACCAAAGCTGGGCCAATGGATTTTGGTTCAATGTATCTTAATTCTCCAGTTAAAGTATACTGTAGCAATAATTTTTGTATTTAAAAATATATAAATGGCTGGTCATATGACAGGGTCTTATGGCTCTGAGGCAATTAATACAGCACATTGAGCTAAATCCTGAAATTCTTACTTACGACCAGATTCTGATGCCTTTCCTCATGTTGTGTGGGATCTTACTCTTCTAGAAGTCCCATTTGAAACAATTAATTTTCTTCTTATGGAATGAATTTACTTCACTGTTCAATGTGAGAAAGGGTATCAGAATCTGGCCCTTCATTTTTACTCATCCAGTACTAGGCTAAATTGCCACTGAACCAAATTCTGACCCATGCAGGCCCCTTGCTGTCACACATAGTGGCACTCAGGTTCTGTATTGGGACTTGTGCTGTTCGATATATTCATAACTGATCTGGAAAAGGGGGTAAACAGTGAGGTGGCAAAGTTTGCAAATGATACAAAAGTACTCAAGATAGTTAAGTCCAAAGCAGATTGCAAAGAGTTACAAAGGGATCTCACTAAACTGGGTGACTGGGTGATGAAATGGCAGATGAAATGCTGATAAGTGCAAAATAATGCACATTGGGAAATATAATCCCAACTACACATACAAAATGATGGGGTCTAAATTAGCTGCTGCCACCCAAGAAAGAGATCTTGGAGTCATTGTGGATAGTTCTTTGGAAACATCTAATCAATGTGCAGTGGCAGTCAAAAAAGCTAACAGAATATTGGGAATCATTAGGAAAGGGATAGATAATAAGATGGAAAATATCATATTGCCTCTATATAAATCCATGGTATGCTCACACCTTGAATATTGCATGCAGATGTATTAGAACTGGAAAAAGTACAGAGAAGGACAATAAAACTGATTAGGGGTATGGAACAGCTTCCATATGAGGAGAAATCAAAAAGACTAGGATAAATGATTAAGGGGGGGATACAACAGAGGTCTATAAAATCATGAATGTTGTGGAAAAAGTGAATAAGGAAGTATTATTTACCCCTCCACATAACAACAGAATCAGGGTTCACCCAATGAAATTAATAAGCAGCAGGTTGAAAACAAACATAAAGGAAGCACTTCTTCACAGAACACACAGTCAACCTGTGGAACTAATTGGCAGGGGATGTTGTGAAGGCCAAAAGTATAACTGGATTCAGAAAAAAATTAGATAAATTCATGTAGGACAGATCCATCAATGGCTAATAGCCAAGATAGTCAGGGATGCAACTCCATGGTCTTGGTGTCCCTAAACCTCTGACTGCCAGAAGCTGATGGTGGACAACAGAGGATGGATCACTTGATAATTGCCCTGTTCTGTTAATTTCTTCTGAAGTATCTGGCACTGGCCACTATCAGAAGTCAAGGTAGTGGGCTAGACACACCGCTGGTCTGACTCAGTATGGCATTTTGTTTGTTCTTAGATCTGTGCTCAGAAATGAAATAAGAAGAAAATTTGTAAAGGTCCTGATTCAAAAAGATATCACATATTGGACTCTTCCTTCATTTCTGTTGAGAAACTATTTGAAGGTAGATGGTGATAGATAGAAGACTGTAGAAGCTCTCTGTGGAATTATATAGTTTCACAGGCTACTTGAACTATACTTAAAATCCCCATCTAGATTCCCATAAGTAAATGTTTTAAACAATGCACTTCTAGCCAATCTGAAGCTATCCCTAGCATTTTCACAAAAATCTGTAAACTCTGATGAAACAACAGAAGGAGAAAAGGTAATCTACCATAGCACTGAAAAGCATGTACAGAAACATACTGACTGACTGCTAGCAGAAATGCTTTAGAACCCTGCTGATATTTAGATTGTCATGTATGATTAGAAACTATTGCCTTCACAGTGATTCCACTGACTTCATTTAACCATTTCAATTCACAACTTAACTAATGACTCTTAGTAGGAATATAAAATGTTTGCAGACACCAAAGATCACCACATTGCATATGCAGTTCATCTGGACAAATGCATCCTGGGTATAACTTTACTGAAGCCAACAGTGTTACACTAGAGATAAATTTGGCACAGTGAAATATTTTATCGCTCTCACGATCTAATTCACGTAATAGATTTTGTTGTATAAAACAAGCATGTTAATATTTTACAGTGCATTTTTTCTCACATAACTTACTGAAGCAGGACTTGCTGTGAAGCAGGTGATGGAAGAGCTTGCACAAAGACTGTTCAGCTAGTGGGACAGTATTACAGGTGCATTCCACCCGAAGCATGGTCCCCCAGTTGTCAATGTAAGCTGCTCTGCAGTCAGCACTTCCAGAGCAAATCAGATCATCCTCAATTAAAGTTTCAAGGCAAGCTTTATCATCATAGCATCTTTTTGTCACATGTCTCCAGCACTTTGACCGAAACACTTCATATCTTTTCCTGGAGGAAACATAGGAAACATACAAGAAAAGCTTTGCTATATTATGATTAAGACAACTTGACATGGAGACACACACACACACACAAAAACCGAACACAAGAGAAGCTAACTTAACGATTACCAGAAATATGTTGGTAAAAGAAATTTTTAATCAGAAATTTCTCTATGAATGCTGACTATGGGTCCTGTAGGGCAGTAGCTTTCTATACAAAATCAAGAATAAAGGAAAGAGTGTTTTCATGGTATGAAAGGCTCTCCCAGAGAAGACATCTGTCATTCATTCGGGCACTCTTCAGGATTTGATGTCTCCCGAAGTCCCTTTCCTGTCAGATCCTGTAAAATTTCAAATGGTAGGAGCAGGCTGACAGTGGGTTCAAAAGCCCTCCTGCTCCTCTGATTCCATCCTTGGGATGCCATGGTATCAGTAGGCTTGGTAGGGCACAATAGTCCCCCATTTCTATTGAGAGTAAAAAAAATCTATCACGTCATAAAGGTATAATGATAGAGAGATGCGTCAATAGGTCCAAATTCTGCCCTCCTTAAATCTGTCCAATTTCGTTGACATTAGTGGTGGGAGGGATAGCTCAGTGGTTTGAGCACTGGCCTGCTAAACCCAGGATTGTGAGTTCAATCCTTGAGGGGGCCTAGGGATCTGGGGCAAAATCAGTATTTGGTCCTGCTAGTGAAGGCAGGGGGCTGGACTTGATGACCTTTCAAGGTCCCTTCCAGTTCTAGGAGATAGGATATCTCCATTTATTTATTGCATAATTGTAACTGAGGGAAGAATCTGGGCTTCAGAAATGAATTTCTTTGAAGAAAATCAATTTTGATCAATTTATAAACAGCAGAGATTTTCCAGGATTCAACAATAAGTGGTGAAAGTAACAATCATCTAAGGAGACACCCAGAGAGGACAGCTTGCAGGAAAGTAGAATAATCAGGCTGGACATCATAATGAAACCAAAGCAAGTAAATTTCTAATGGATGTGGCAGGTGTGTAAAATCATACGTCTGGGCAGAACACTGAATTGGAGTGATATAAGATAAAGACTATCTAATCCACACAGCAAAACATTTTACAGGCTAAAAAAGAAAACAACCTAAAAACGAGTTAACCATAACTATAAAACTACATTGGAAAAGGGTTAGCGGTGATCAAATTAAATGAGGAATAAGTAGGACTAACTTGGTTCCTCTTTTTCAGTTCAATGATACCATATGACAGTTTATTTACAATATTGTGTAGAATAAAAATAGCCCTTGATGTGCCAATGTTTAACAATTATAGTTTATCTATTTTCTTAACAGGACTGTTGTAAAACCTTTGATAAATATCTTTCTAATCAATATCTATTATATTAAATATTAGTGGATTGGAGGGGCGATGGGTTATTGGATCAGACTCTAAAGTGTTGGGCACTGACCCATTAAAATATGGCATCCCATACAGCTGGAGACTATTGTATGAATTAAGTACTGATTTCACAGGGCTGTTAAAAAATAGCATGTCTGTAAGATGATACCTTATAAGGTTGAATGTAGGACCCAATTACACAGCACTTACGTTACACAATTCAAGGTTTCAGTCAAAGGAGCTGTCATTTCTGTGCTAATGGCACAATTTTTTGTTCAGGCTCATAATTTATAGGAACAGCTAAATATAATTCACAGCGTAATTCTGATATTTGTCTCTACTCATTGTTAATGTTAGCAAGCATTAATGTTCAAGAGTAATGGGTAATTCAACAAGTTTCTGCTAAATATGGTTTCCAGTTAGACTCCTACACACACAATTCAACCTGGCATCAAAAAGTGCAACCCCCAGTGATGTCAATTTGAATTAAACTTGCTTATGGCAGAGCTGAATGTGATCCTTGGTCTCTTTATTGAAGGTTAATTTACAGCATGCTTAATTTATTAGATGAATTTCAGGTCTTGTCCCATAGTGCTAGAATGACCACATTGAAATCTAAAGCGAGCCAGTTGCCCACCAAATTATGGTCATATTTAAGTGGCGCTGTATGTACAGACCAATCCTACAGCTGTTTCTCACTTAGCTATTTTGTAAAATAATATGAAATAAAATCCAAAAGCTGGCTCACTCTACGTGATTGATTGTTTATGGACACACCGGGTTTTTATCACATACAGAGGGTTATCATCACATAGTCTGTTTGAAGGAGAAAAGGACAAAAATAAATAAGTGAAAATGTTTTCTTATTTAGATCATTTTCCTTATGCAACAATTGGGTGCAAAGGGTCAGATTACTGGGTTAATGGATAATTAATTTCACCAAACAAACTTTGCTCAGTCAGCTGCATGCTTTGTGCAAACCATTTGAAGGCAAAGGGGCATTCCCCAGGACAAAAACTGGAGCGAATAGGGTTGAAAATCTCTGTGCGCATAATTTGTCTGTCGGAAACTTTGCTATGAGTGATGATAGACAAGAAATATAAAACCCAGACTGAGTTTTTAGGGCTCACAGTTAGAAAGAACCCTGCATTTTACTTGCAAAATGAATGCAGCTGATATGGAAGTCTTCGAGAATCATAAGGAATAGAACCTGCAATGCCATTTTTACTATCACTTTTCAGAACAGATCCATGTTTTCAGGAATTGCTAAAGCCTGTGCCATGTGATAAAGAACATATTAATATTCCTTTTTAGGGTAGAAAGTGAAAACAATTCAGATAAATATTGTAGTGAACTGGTTAATGTATATGTTTTGCACTTTCCTTTCCTGGCCAGAATCAGAACTGCTCAGCTGTGTGTCATAGTCCTTATATTACTAACTGAGATTTCCCTTATGCTCGTGTGCTTTTTAGTAGGATGATCAGAGTTCTAAACCTCCTGTCATGGTGAAGTGTTGAGTGTCCATTGTGTATCGTGACACTCAGGAAGTGCTCAGCTGGCCAGGGATTTATTTTAATGGGAAAGTTAAAAGATAGCAAACGCTTCCATTGTTGTTGCTGATAAGGTTTAGAGAAATATTGCTTTGAAGGTATACTTGTTCTCAGATACCAGCAATGCCAGCAAGTAACTATCATGAAGAAAATCATTCTGGGCTGTGTGTGTGTGTAAAGAACTATTATATTTATCACCTTTTTTCATTGTGATTGACATACACGTTACCGGGCAAAAGGTAAATCAAGTAATAATTATTTTACTTACCTGCACAATTCATTGCCTTGGCACCTGTGAATGACATTTAGACATGAAGGAGGGGGAACTATGTTGACTGCACATGGCTTGCCATGAAGAAGTTCTTTGGCTTGCTGACAAGATTCATCAGGCTGGGTGCAGTCACAAAATGTCAACATCTGGGCAACATTAAAAGGCATATTTTGATAGAAGAACCTTATGGCTGCTTGGCATTGTTCCATGTTGCACTGCTTTCTAGTTACTGAACAAACTTTAAGGTACAGAGATAACTGTTTATTACATACTTCATCTTCAATACATTCCTTGTTTACATCAAAACAGGTTCCGTTCTCTGTGTATTCTAAAAGGAATAATACATTTTTAAAAAAATACATGAAGATAAATATAAAGAACAATCTAGTGGTTGTTTTTTGTGCTTCTGGATTCTGAAAGCAGTTGCAGGATCAAGTCTTAACTATACAAGAAAGATTTATAAAAATTAGAGCTGGTCCAAAAAATTGATACACATTAGTGCAATATTTCCCCCCTCCTCCATACCCCACTTTTATTTGTAATGTTTTTGTGGGGGACTAAAACTTCTCTACCAGCTGTAGAGATGACTGATTAGGACATAAATACAACTCATCTCACTATTCGTTAATAATAAAATGCTGGAAATGTGTAATGGGGATGTGAAGATTGGGAAGGTGAGATCCAGAGGGCCTTGTAAGGTTTCTCTACAGAAACGTCCATTTCAGCCTAAGGATCAAATGCCCATCCTTTTGCAATCAAGGCAAGTTTGCCATTGAATTCCTCAGGGTTAGAATTTGACACTGAAAGCATTCTTTTCCTAATTTAGCACTGCTGTTAGGCAGGATACACAGGAGTTAAGGTTACTTTATAGAGCTGAATAATTAAAAATCCCAACCCATCAAAAAGTCTGAAGGACATATGGCATTTTCACTAATTATTGGCGTGTACTGTAACTGTTTTTCAGAAATTTAAGTTTGAATGACCTCATCTCTTTATTTCCCTGTTTTCAGAGATCTGAGCTTTGCTGACCTCAACCTTCTGGAAGAGCATGAGATACTGCTGGGCAACCTTAACTCTGCCTTAATGAAATTTTTTGTTATCTGAAACATTGAGGGTGAAATCCTGTCTCCATTAAGTTAATGGATACTTTGCTGTTGACTTCAACGGAGCCAGAACTGCAGCCATAGAAAGTAAGCTCTTCATTTCAGAGCCTTTGTTTACGTATCCATCTGTGAACGCCCAGTGCTCTTCTCGTACTATCTTTATAAATCGTAATATCACAGTTAGGGTCCAATCCGGCAAGGTCCTGACTGTCTCCTGTTGAGTTTAGTATTATTTCAGAGCCCCCAGCACCTCATAAAGGGCACCCAGGACATTACAGGATTTGGTCTTTATTTGCAATGCAAAGTATAGGGACATGCCATAGTGTTGTGACTGTTGATAAATAAATATTATTCATGTATTTTTATTACAATAGTACAGAATGCTGTCATTTTAGTGGTGACTTCTGTAAGAGTGAGATATCTATCTTAACTACTACTTATGCACCTAATTCTAACCATGACATTTAATGGATGGGAAAGCTAATTCAGATAAAATTAGAACAATCCCCTGTTAGTGGAACTTGCATCTATTATTAGACAGATCTGAACCTAAACCTTTATGTTCTGAAATGTTCAGATCATTTTTTTTTAATTTAAAATTTTTGAATGGGACAAAATCAGAAGAATTGCCATTGGCTTAAATGGGATCAGGATTTTTTATTATGAACTTCTATATCCTTATCCAAACAGAAATCTATCTGCAAATCTTTGGGGTTCACTAAATCTCAAATTTTAAGTATGTTTGTTAAATGTTGTTATTATTATTTAATCTATATGCGGCTACATTGCCCACTATCACAGACTGAAAGAAAAACAATAAATATGATTTATAAATTAATAAAATAAATTCAAATTTACCATGCTTGGAAAGAGCAGATAAGTTCCATTGTAACTTAGTTTCCATGTTAATATTATCTAGAAGAAAAAGATACACACAGAGAATATATGTAACATTGATAAATTACATGTCAGCTTTGTTGTGAGCTTTAATGTAAAACTTTATTGACTCTAATGTGAGCAAAACCTTTCAAATAAAAGTAAAGAGAAAAAAATAAATTAGGTTAGTCAAATAGACTTGCCAATTTGTTTACAAGCTCTAAAAGATTCATTATGTTTATTTAGAGCTATTAAAGCAAATCTGCACATGATCTTTTTTCATTGCTATTGAGAACATCACTCTTCTCTCTGAATATGTGGCCTAAAAGTGTGGGACCTCATTGAGAACTGTTGGGTGCTTAGCACCTCTAAAAACCAGGCCCCTTATGGCTATATATAAATATGGTAGCCAAAATGTATGAATGTATACAGCAATTTTTAAAAATATTGCCCATTAATAATACATGTATTTCCATGCAAAACTATATCAATAATTAATTATTATTATGTATTAGTAGTTAGAGATGGTTGTTACAGGTTCACCAGGAAATGCTGATTCTCTGAACTGAAATGTTTCACTGAGTCTGTTGCAGATTTGATGAAACTTTTACTGAAACACAGTGTTCCAGGGTGCACAGCTCCACAAAAGAGAGCCTGCAAGCTGGGACAGCCCTGAGTGTCTTGGAGCTGATTGACTCTGTGACTTCAGAGCAGATCTCAAAGGTGGACTGCCCAGGGCTGAGGACAACAGTGATACCAGGGTCCCTGGCTCCGGGGCAGCTCCCCCATGCCAGGGCTTCCAGGAACCCTGTTGTATACTTGAAGCCCTGGAACCCCTGACTCCCAGGGCAGTCCTTACTCAGGGGCCTTCCTTGGAGCCACAGGCTCTGGGAACCCAGCAGCTGCTGAGTGAAATTGACTTTCTTGTCAGTTTCACTGCAGCTATTGTAAGAATGTCAATTTCGCTCAGCCAGGATTGATCAGGGGAGCAAATTTTGTTTGGAAACATCATGCAGAAGTGTTTCTGAAATGATGTTTTAGGTTTCTCATTTCAGTGATCAAAACAAAACAAAAAAAAAAAACAGTTTCAGGCTGACCTGAACTGAATATTTTTTCCTCAGTTTTTGGTCCAGACTCCCAACCAAAAAAACAATTACTCACTTAGTTCTAGTACTATCAGTGGCTCTGAAAGGCACCACTCAGGACCAGAATTCCCCTGTGCTAGGTGCCATACAAACACATATTAGGAAATTATTCCAATCATTCAAACTACAATTTCACCTACCACTTGATAAGCTGTTGAAATTATTCACATGCATATAATCAGCTTTCGAAAATTCTCCTGTTCCCAACATTCAATTGCAAATAAGTAATAAAATATACAAACAGTCCCACAGATGTGATAATACTGGATTCAAGTACGTATATAAAGACACGGTTTTACACAGCTTTTGAATTATAATAAAACATAATTTCAACTTTAAAGGTATCCCTGAATAGCACTAACCTGGATGAATGCCCGGATTTCTCTCATCATCATAGTCTTCTTCCCTCATGGCAAAAGCTTGATTCTCCTGCATGTACTGTAAACAAGTGTTATTAAAGATACTCTGCCATATTTTAGCACATCTTTTTTGAATTGGTTCTGAACACTTGCAGTTCCACAGCACTGTTTTCCTCAGCTCCTTCCATGCTGACAAACATTGTTGCCCAACCATTTGGAGGCTGCATTTTGCCACCTCTGTTCTGCAAACTCTTTGAAAGTTCTTATACATCATAAAGCAGGTATGGTCTTCTCGACAGTTTTGCTTTGCAATACTGCAGTCATTTTCTGATTCCCCGGCGCGTTGCATGCCTTTGGGTTTTGAGTGCGACATGAAATTTAATTGGATATCTGGGCTTAGTGAAGGCTCCAAATGCCCTGTACAGATAGATTTTGACAAAGACGTATGTTGGAAAGACCATCTGTAAGGCTGAATCCTACAATTTCTTTTATAGTCATATCTAAACAAATTTGGTGACAAAGTTAATTCTCCTAAGAATCAGTACAATTAACTGAATTATACAACACTGATTATGGCTTAACTAATTTGGATGATTCCTATGGAAGCTGGTCAATAGCAAGTAACTACATACTCATTTCAGGTTCTTGCAGATTACTAAGTCTTCTTTATGTTTAGTATGTTCCCAAAAGTCTGTGTAATATAGCCTGTGCTCTAGTTTAGCACATAAATGGGCATTAGATACTCAGAGCTCTGACTGAAATTACTGCATAGTCATGATAGAATTATGGTATATGGGCAAAATTCAGCCCAGATGCAACTCTGCTAATTTCATTTAAATTGCACCAGGGAGCAATTTGTCCCTTTGGCCCCAAGTAATTAATCAAGAGGGGTACAATCATCCTCCCATTTGACTGAGGCAAAACAATCATCAGTTTCAAAGTAGTCAGTTTCAGGTCTTAGATTTCCAATCCTGCCATCTTGAGTAAGGAATGCAAGATCAGGTCCTTAGCATTTACTTTATTATCTGATTTCATTTGACACGCCATGTGTCAAATCCTGTAGTCTTTATTTAAGGAGACTTCTCCTTGGGCCAGAGTCTCCAAATCTTACTCTTATTGAATAATACTTACTCACACAAGTAGTCCAGTTGAAATTTAAGGGGTTGCTCATCACAAACAAGGATTGCTAAATTGAGCCCATTGACTTCAATGGGAGTTCAACAAGGACTGCAGGATCTGATTCTATATGTTGTTATATGTTCTACAATATTTAGGCATATCAGAACAGGATAAATGAAGAGTTATCAGCCTTACATTTGAATTTCCTGTTTTTTCTCTGACTTTCCTTGGTATTATTGATTTTAAAATAGCTATTTAACATAATTTTCATATATACTTAGGGATGTGAATACACTAGAACCACAGCGTTACAAACACCTTGGGAAAGGATGTTGTTTGTAACTCCGAAACATTTGTAACTCTGAACAAAACATTATGGTTGTTCTTTCAAAATTTTACAACTGAATATTGACTTAATACAGCTTTGAAACTTTACTGTGCAGAAGAAAAATGCTGCTTTTCATTTATTTTTTTTAGTAGTTTGTGTTTAACACAGTACTGTACTGTATTTTTTCTTCTGTCTCTGCTGCTGCCTGATTGTGCACTTCCGGTTCCAAATGAGGTGTGTGGTTGACTGGTCAGTTCATAACTCTGGTATTCATAACTCTGAGGTTCTACTGTATTTCAGAAAAGGCAAAATAACATTAAAAAGTCTGTTGGGAGATTTTTAGATTTGAGACTCACATACAGGAATTGGAATCTATAAGACTTCCTTATGAGGAGGGATTACATTCTATCTTCAGACATAGTTAAAATTCCATTTCCATTATTTTGTATTATTAAGGCATTGGGTATATTAGTTACCTTTTTTAATGGCACATTGTTTCCCAAGTAACAGTCTGATGCTACAAAAATCATCTTTGGTGCAGATACAGTCTTTAAATTGTGGATACTGGTCAGCCAGGAATTGGATGGCTGTATTACAGCCAACTGAATCTTTTGCCTTGCAGCTGTTACCTAGGTTTGTCATCAAGAATATAATTTTGTTAATACTTATTCAACAAGGCTACATGAAACAAGTCAATTGCAGTACAGTAAGAGAGAAGATGGTTTTGTTTCTAAATATATCATAATTCACAAATTTAACATCATCTTTGGGATGACATGATGAAGGTGTGGGTACAATTCTGTCTTCATTTATATTGATGCATATTTTTGACCCATTGCCAAAATGTCTATTTTAAGTTCTCATTTCGTGTGCATATAATCTGTTTGTAACAATTACTTTTGACAAAAATTGTGCATACTTTACTATATTTTTGGCTTATAAATGTAGTATACTTATTGGGTCAGTTTCACTGGCGGCTTAGCATGCCAATTGTGCTTATCAGGAACAACTGAAGAGTGAGTGACAAAGGTGGGATTTGCAGGAGCAGAAGGCACAGCCTTCTCACTAGCTGACCCGCAACTATAAAACTCCCTACTACAAGTACTAAGCATGTTGGTATGTCATTGCCACATTAGGAATAAATGTGAAATCCATATAGCCTTTCCAGAATACTGATGATGAAGATAAAATAGCTCCAAAATCTGTGCTCTTGGGAAGCAGGGAGAGAGTTAAATCATGACTGGTGTGGAGAAAGTAAATAAGGAAGTGTTATTTACCCCTTCTCATAACACAAAAACTAGGGGCCACCAAATGAAATTAATAGGCAGCAGGTTTAAAACAAACAAAAGGAAGTATTTTTTCACACAACGTATAGTCAACCTGTGGAACTCCTTACCAGAGCATGTTGTGAAGGCCAAGACTATAACAGGGTTCAAAAAAGAACTAGATAAATTCATGGAGGATAGGTCCATCAATGGCTATTAGCCAGGATGGGCAGGGATGGTGTCCCTAGCCTCTGTTGTCCAGAAGCTGGGAATGAGCGACAGGGGATGGATCACTTGGTGATTTCCTGTTCTGTTCATTCCCTCTGGGGCACCTGGCATTGGCCACTGTCGGAAGACAGGATACTGGGCTAGATGGGAAATACTGACCCAGTATGACCATTCTTATGTTCTTATTAGAGCACTTGGGACATTTTTGCCCAAGGGTAATTTCTGTAAGGCATTCAGCTACCATGATGTAGATAGAAATATCAGATACCAGGGTGAAATCCTGGCTCCAATGAAGTCAAAAATCATGTGGCACAAAAGGATTAAGCAGGCTTTGTATAACAAGTTAGACCATGTACTAAACAAGTATGTTTCTATTATCAGTACTGTTGTGTTTATACGGAGTATTGATTCAGCTGTGTGATAAGTATGCAAAAATATTTTTGATGCTGTTTTTTAATTCTTGTTCCTTTTATTACTGATTAGCAGAAGATAACACATTCCAACTATATATATATATATATATATATTACAAGGGCACTTACAAAAATGCCCTCTAATTTAAAATCTAAGCATAATTTCAGCTTTGGCACCTACTAATGATATATATATATATATATATATACACACACACACACACACACACACACACTTTGTGTAAATATGACTGCAAAATTTCTGACAAATAGCTGAGACTGACACTTTCTAGGTCATAATCTGTTCCCCAGCCACAAGCAGAATATCATTGTCAATGGGAGTTTAATCTGAAGATGAAGGACAAAATATGGTCCTAAATCTAGTTCACAAAGAAATCCCCTGACATGTGATGTGCTACTTTGGTAGGACTAAGTGTTTGCACTCACTCATGGCTTTACCATTTATCAGCAATGAAGGTCAATCCAAACTCATGCCAATAAAGCCTTTATAGCACACCTCCCCATCATTTATTCTCTCTTTTTCCATATCCACTCTATTTGGGGAGCTAACACTGAATGTCCTCACAGAAGAAGTGAGTTTTTAGGATAGATTTAAAAAGAAATGGGTTGTTGACTGACTCAGAAGGGATTTTATGTGGTAGGTTCAAGAAGACAATAAGCAGCAAGAGGGGAGAACTTTTTGATCTGAACTATTAAAAAGTTTCATGTTTGCTTTACAAAAGAGATTAGGCTGAGTTTCAGGCCAATTATATTACTGGTAGTAGTCAGACAAGTATTACTTGATTCATCCCCAATTACAAATTAATCATATTTTATTACGATAAGATGTACCTAGAACAAAGCTCCATGAGCCTTTGGATGCACTAATCATATATATTAGAATTAGTCAAAAATGGTGATTGTTTTGAACCAAAATATTTCTCCCCAATTTTTTTAAAATGAAAATTGTTTGGCTTTTTATTGAAAACCAAAGATTCTCAATGATTCCACCAAAATTTTGATTTAAAACATCATTCTTCATTGAAAATGTTTTCAAACAATCTTGTGACTGGCTCTAATATGAGTGTTTTATGTATATAAACAATACTGTAGAAAGTATTAAACTGTTTATAAAAAACAATTTTCCTATTCCTTAAGGTAATAAGCAGAGACAGTGAGACTGATTTCCTGCTCTCGTGTAGGTGAAAATCTGTGTTATGCATTAAACAATTGAAGGGAGATCAGTCATATTCAACACCTGCAATTTATTGTATTATCATTCCCTAGAAATGATTCATTCTGACATGTTGGTGCAAGTTAACTGAACAGCATTAATATGACACCTCTGCATATTTCTATCAGGCATGTCAGAATTTATTTATTTCATATGCTAGTATTACTTCAAAATTCTAACAATTACATTGCCTGAAGTGTACTACTGTATTATTGCTGAATTACAGAAGATGGTATTTTATTGGAAAATGATTCTCAAGTTTAGAACGTTGAGGGCTAAATTCTGGAATCGCTACTTAGTTTTTACTCAGCTCTTATATGGTATCAAAATTCCCTTTGGATTGAACTTGTTGACGGGTTCACATTCTGATCTCTGAAACCTCATTCACTGCATTGAAAATGAGTTTGCATGAGTGAAACTGAGGGCAGAATTTGATCCCTACCAAGGACTTCACAATTGTAGGCCTGGTCCTGAAATCCCTAGGCATGTAATTATCTTTGATTCTGCTGTCACATGCACAGTTTTTACACCTGTGGAGTCACTCCACTTCTACACTCATGTGAGACCAGAATATGATATAAAATAAACTGATATAATATGGGCAAAGAATGTTGTTGTATTTATATCAATCAAAAAATCATTGCAGTATACACTGTAACTGTTACCTGAAATATTACAGGCATCTTCAATTACATTCCAGACACTTTCACATCCATTTGCAGCACGAATGCATTGCTCTCTCAGGTGCAGACAGTCAGTGGTCTGGGAAGCAGATGTGTTTTTGAAGTATACAACTAATACTGTAAAAGTAGATAATAATGATTAGTTAGTACTACAGGTAACCATCTGCCTCCTTGCATTCATGCTATGAATTGTACAATGCAATTTATTGTAGCTTGCATGTAATGACAAATGAACAAGGTAGCTTTTTATTACTTAGCAATATACAACATTTCCTATTATTTTTCCAATCACAAAACAATTGTGATTAGGCAGACTTTGCACTGATACAACTCCAGTGTCTTAAGTTTGATCCAATGGGAGCTCTCAGGGTAAATCCAGAGTAACATCATTGTATTCAGTTGTGCCATTTCAGATTAGTGTTGGCATAAGTGGGCCCAGAATTTGACCCAGGATCTTCTGTCTGACTCTAATGGAAAAAAATAATGTTATACAAGCTTTCAAGAACCACTTTCTTCATCAGTTCATGGCAATACAGAAATGTAAGGGCATTGCAGTCCTTAAACAAAGGGTTAAAGTAAAAGGGAAGTATTAAAGTCAGAGGAACACTGGATTTCACTTCCACTGCAAAAACAACGAGGAGTCCTTGTGGCACCTTAGAGATTAACAAATGTATTTGGGCATAAGCTTTCGTGGGCTAAAACCCACTTCATCATATGCATAGAGTGAAAAATACAGTAAGCAGTATATATATCAGAGCACATGAAAAGATAGGAGTTGCCTTACCAAGTGGGGGGGTCAGTGCTAACAAGGCCAATTCAATTAAGGTCAATTCAGTTCTTGTCAACTGTTGGAAATGGGCAATGTCCATCTTGATTGCATTGGCCTCGTTAGCACTACAAAAGTAATTTTCCCTTTCTTGATATTCACCCATTCTTGTCAACTGTTGAGAATAGGCCACTTCCACCTTAATTGAATTGGTGGAAGCATTGGCCTTGTTAGCACTGACCCCCCACTTGGTAAGGCAACTCCCATCTTTTCATGTGCTGATATATATATACTGCTTACTGTATTTTTCACTCCATGCATCTGTTGAAGTGGGTTATAGTCCATGAAAGCTTATGCCCAAATAAATTTATTAGTCTCTAAGGGCTTGTCTTCACTACCTGCCCGGATCGGCGGGTAGAAATCGATCTCTCGGGGATTGATTTATCGCGTCTCGTTGGGACACGATAATCGATCCCTGAATCGACACGCGTACTCCACCAGCCCAGGTAGGAGTAAGCGCCGTCGACGGGGGAGCTGCAGCAGTCGATTTGCCGCCGTCCTCACAGCGGGGTAAGTCGGATCAGATACGTCGAATTCAGCTACGCTATTCCCGTAGCTGAATTTGCGTATCTGAAATCGATCCCCCCCTGTAGTGTAGACGTAGCCTAAGGTGCCACAAGGCCTCCTCATTGTTTTTGCTGATACAGAGTAACACGGCTACCACTCTGAAACTTCCACTGCAGTTTGCTAAAGCCAGATGCTACAGGATACTCACTCATATCAAGCAATATTAAAGATTTCTTGACAGCTGTAGAACTGAACGATGATACACTGTACTTCTTATTACATAAAACGTTTCTTTCTATTTACATTTTGGGGGGGAAATGCATGAATTTGGGGTAAAAAATAAAATTTCAAATTATTTTTCAGCGTTACCAAATATACTGAACTTAAAGCCTGTTTTTGAACTGCATACCTAGCATGAAAAACTGAAGACTGAGGTGTCAGTCGCATGGTAGAGACTTATATCTAAATGTCTCCTGTTGCTTATCTTATCAGCAGGAAATTAGATTGGCCTTGCTGGAGGAGAAGAGACAGGTCTGAGTTAACGCTTTAATCAGCATTCCTATGATAAAACTACCTTTACTATGATAAAATGTTATTTTAATTTTTCTGTTAAATTAACTTTCAGACATTAATTTAGGGCCTGATTGGGCAAGTAGCTGAGCACTTCATGGAGTGGTTTCATTGGCAGTTCCTCAGAGGATCAGAGCTTACTGTTCATTCCAAGTGACATTCATGGAATTCTATGTGCGCATTCGAAGAATGCTCTGTGCTCCTTAATCCAAGACTGAAAAGGACAATTAATGCTTTCTAGGGGCTTACCCAGGCCCTCTGCACTGGGATGACTTTCACACATTTAACATGGTTCTATAAGAGAACAATTTTAAACAACTGCTACTGTTTAGCACTGATATCATGTATTGTGGAAATGGTGCTGTGTTGTGAGGCAATGTTATTACTGTAGGGAATGTTTGGGTTTACAAGTGTATTAACATTTAACTTGCCATCACTGGCAGGTGCACCAATATTTAATATCTCGTTAGTGACGTCACATACATTTACCTTAAGCTAACAGACCTGGTATTGAGAAAAGGAATTCATGTACATCCTTCCCAGCTGCTGGATCCAATCTGAGTTCATAGCCAGGACAGCTACCTCTGCTTGGTACCACCCATTCAGTTGTCTTTCTGCAGCTTGCATTCAGCCAGAAGGAACCCAAGCCTGTCCCTGGGACAAGGCGGACGATACCACCTCCCCTGCGGGATAACCCAACTGCCATATATACCAGCTGTGGGTCAGGGGCCTGTTTATGGTCTTCTGCTTGTGAAGTCATTTACACCTGTGCATTTAAACCTACTTCTGATTTGAAAGCATTTTGCACACACTTTGATGGGGTAAGCCAGTGGAGAATCAGGATCACAGAAACTTCTCTGGGAAGGGGGCCTAACTGAATGGACAATTCAGACATTACCCTGCTCCTCCTGCAGTGGGGAGTGGGGGGACTTCAGACTCCAGCTGGGTTCCATGCCTCCAAAGCTCTGTGAACATGGCCACTGTATCTTTAACCTCCCTCCTGCTGACCTAGCCCTTCAGAATCCAGCCCGTTACCAGCCCGTTCTGGTTCCTACTAAACTGAGCTGCCTTATCAAAATCTATAAAGCCATTAAACCTATCACAGGGCTTCTCCATGTCTAATGACATGACAGTGGCTCTAGATTATCTCTTGACTCCACTGTGCTATGCAACGTTAGGGCCAGTAACTGTAACTTTCTGATGTGCAATAGACCCACCTAATTTTGTTAATTTCCCTAAACTTTTTCCCAGCCTGTTGTCATTGTTATAGTAAGTAGTGAACTCCAGATTTTTTGGATATTCAGGGATAAAGTCCCACCACAACCTCCTCTCTTAGTAACTTGAGGGGGATCTATCTGGAGCTAGATTACAAGTAATACAATTAATATTATTTGTATTACAGTAGCACATAGAAGCCTCAAACAAAATTCATATTTCATTGTGCCTGGTATTGTGCATGCATGAAGTAAGAGACTGTCCATGCCCTGAAGAACTTACAATTTAAACAGACAAAGGGCAAGAGAAAGGAAATAGTATCATCTCCAACTTATAGATGGGAAACTGAGGCACGGTGAAATTAAATTATTTGCCCAAGGTCACATAAGATATCTCTGGCAGAGCTAGAAATTGAAGCTGGATCTCCTGAATCCTGGTCCAGTGCGTTAGCTATACAAACTTCTAGACAGATCGAAAAAAGTAAGGGTAGGCTACAAAAGGGAGTGATGTACCGTATATTGCGGACATAAAAATGTTAGCGGGAATCTTGACGCTAGTAGATCTAAGGCCAGGAGTAACTAACTGGAATGTTGTTTTAAACAGCTGAATAGAAAGTTAATGGCTTTGAGAGTACTGATATGCAGAACATAGTGGGAAAATGAAGGATAAAAATGAGCAGGAACAAAGAGTTAAATGTATAGGAATAACATTTCATCTTATTCTCTTCAATCAGCTTCCTATATACCTGCTTTATTGATTTCTCTTTTTCCATTCAAAACCAAAGGGAAATGTCAATAACTCTTCTTATGGTACTACCTGCACTTATGCTGTCCACTCAGCAAACAAGTGACTGTTTGTTTAGACAAGGCATCCCATTTGCAGGTCTTCTTGATGGCTGAGTTTCTTATCAATGCTCATGCTAGGTCACAAAACAACACTCTTGTTCCTGTGTGGTGTTTACAGACTTGAACATATTACCAGGGACTCGTTTGAATAAGTTTGTTAGGTGCCCTATTCAGCAAAGTACAGCCCTAGAGATCACACTTGAGTGTGAAGTGAGCACCTGCTCATCAGCCACACCTTGCAGTTTTCCAGCAGCAGCAAGAATAAATAAATAGGGATCAAATCAGGCATGAGCTCCAGGAAAGGGAAATTCATCTAACACATGAAGCATCAATAATGGTGTGTAGAGAATTAAGCTCACTTCACTGACGGCTAGTAGCATAGTTCACAAATCCCATATTCAACAGAGAGAGAATTTGAATAGACTTCTTAAACTGGAAAGGATAAAATACAAATCTATACGAGCCAGGGAAAAACACATCTCTGTGTTCAGTTCGAGCCCATGCCCCGTTTTTAAGATGCTAATTCTACGTTATGTTATTTCATTCAAAGGCAGCCACAAGGCATGATGCCAGTAATAATGGTTTGAAAAACTACATGCAATCAGAGTGAGGACTTTGGAATACAAAGGTAAAACTACTTTTTACAAGAGAGCAAATCTTCTCCCTTCTAAAGGCAAGCCACGCACACAGGTGAGCTGTTACCATCCCGGGCGGATGCAGGCACAAAAGGGAGATGCAGACAGAACAGATGGATATGGATGAGATGAACAGATGGGAGCTGATGCACCCAAATGAGGTGCATACACCCGTGGGTGCCTCACAGGTGAGAGGCAGGCCCACGGAGGAGGTTAATTCATGGGCTAGCCATGCACACGAGCGAGCTGTGCATCCTGGCGCGATGCAGAAAGCTCGGGAGCCTGCAGGTGAGCTCCATCCAGGTGAGACGGGGCAGGGGAGGTACCGGTAGGTGCATGCAGATGAGCTGCAGAAATAAGTTGGCTGTTAGCAGGTTTTGTCTCCTCCCAAACACTTACAAACCGGGTGAACTTACCTAGGAACAGGAGAGAGCTCATTGTGCGGCTGTCGTGGCTGCAGGAGCTGAGCGGGGTCGATTGCAGGTGGACGCCAGGTACCGGCTCAGGTCTCAGGCTGTTTTCAGCACTGCTGGTGGAGGAACAGCGCTCGGCTGCCAGCCCAGGGCGGCGATTGGGCCTCGGGGCGCAGCGCTTAGCCCAGCAGAGCGCACCAGGAGATCCCAGCCGCCTTTGGACTCCAGCTGCCCAGCGCAACAGGTATGGGTGGGGGGCGGATCGCTAAGCACCTTGCTGCCCCTTCCTCTGGATCTATGCGCCTCTTCCCCCGCTAGGGACACGCTGGTGGGGGCTGGGTTTTTAACCAGATCAAATCCTGTGCCAATGATAACGCGGGCGGCTTGATCCAGCAAAGGGAAATGGCTCTTGGATGCAAAAAGCCCAAGTTACTTTCTACAGTTGCAAACCGTGAAAACCAAAGTCAAGTCCGTTTGCCACTTAGGAGCAAATGCTGCACGTGCTTTAGATAAGATGATGCAGCAGCATATTCTGCTGTGGTGGTGTTTGAAAAAGAACCTCCTGACACTAGTCCCTAGCAGAGAACAAGTTTTAGGAAAGAAACATGCTGAACGGCGCTGAAAGAAATGACTGCAGGTGCTAAAGGGAAAGACTTGCAGCAATTTGAGCTCTGACATAGAAGCAGATTAGGGAATCCCCCACAGCAGCACATATTGAAAGGTGCAGGTTGTAGTGTAGCGGTTGTATTGTGCCCACAGGACTTCTACACAGTGGGGGGATACACTTTTCCAGGGTGGCTAGTGTAGCGCAAACCTTAGGGCTTGGCTATAAAGATTTCATCTTTTACTTTACATCTGCTTTTTTTGATATCTGCACAAAGAACATCCGACCTGGAAGGAAGGGACTTGGAAAAGAGGAAGAGGAAAAAGAATGATAATTTAGCTTGGTTAGTTTCCCCTTAAGCTAGTGTGCTGTACTGATAAAACTTGAAATGCACTGAATACACTTCCAGGCAACATATCAGATGTTAAGGAGACAATGTCTGGAATTATTATAAATTAACAATGAAAAGCCAATTATTGCACCAAATAAACTCAATCTTAAATCTAATGCAGCACAACACATGCCAGCTAATCCCAGTGCTATGGCAGCTCTTGTATCTGAGCTCTCTTGGGTTGTCCCTGGGCACATACCACCAGCCCCATACTTAAGAGAGGCTCTTTAATGCCTGGGAGGTTCCTGATTTTCCCTTGGAACAATGGGACAGGAGAAATTGGATTAGAATGGGTAAGAAAAACTTTCATGGAACCATTTTCCATCAAAGAATGCAATTCTGTCTAAATCAAATGCTTAATGTGATTTCCGCCCCCCCCCCCACACACACACTGGATTTTCTTTCATGGAAATTTTGTTCTGAATCAGAACAAAAACCATATTTTGAAATCCTCTACACAACAGAATTTCCCTTCTCTGACAGCTGTAGGCTGGATGCTTGCTCCCAGATCTTCCCAATAGCTGCAGCATAAGAGAGGAAGGCAATTCACAGCCCAGTTTCTTACTCTTTTCCCTGGTCCAGTAGCTCTGGGGCTCTGCAGATCCTTAGACCAGTCTACAGCTATACACAAGAGCTTTGCTAAAGTCTTGTGCCTTCCCTTAGTATTTTTGTCTTCTCATTTTTCCCTTTGTTAACCTGATCCATTCTTTATTCATTTTCCCATTTTTTGTTACTACTTTCCTGCTCCTTCCTTCCACAGCCCTTTAATTTGATTTTTATCCTGGAGGGGTGAAGGATTGGGGGAAGTGGTTCTTACCTGTGTTTAGTCACATTTTGGAAAATCTCTGAGTAGTTTTCCATAGCCCTTTCATATGATATTATTAGTATAGGGTCTTGTTTCACATCATGTAATTTGTAGAAGCCCCTCCAACCCTCCACTCCTGCTTGAATATTGTCTTTGGTAATCTTCTGTTAGCAATTTGCATATGTTAGGGATTGAAATCAGTTCTCATCATCTTGGAATATCCCTCTTGGCCTATCAACCAGGAGTGAACAATAGGAGTTAAAGGGCAGCATTATGAGCAGATATAAACAAATAAAACCAATCTGACAGTGTGAGGTTTGATGGAGTTACACCAGGAATGAATTTGGCCTAACGAGCAGACAATTGAGGTTTTCCTAGGGTACAAAACAAAAAGACAAACATGTTATTGACAACACATTAGCTCGGGCTGTTCTTCTGTAGATGAATACAGGTGTAAAGAAATGAGATCAACAAAAGATATTTTCCTCTTCCAATGTTGACTAGGTTCAAAATAAAAGATGTTTTCCTCTTCCTATGTTTAATGTATTCCCTGAAAAGACTAGGTCAAAGGAACATTACGACGTATACACACAGCTGCATGTTTAGTTCATTCTTGTTGCTGAACAATCCTCAGACAACATAGCCATTTGGCAATGCATCAAAAGGACATCAAAGTAAAATTCTAAATTTGTAAACTTATTACGTAGTTGCAATCACAATATCTATGCATGGGGCCAGTCTTGTTTTCCTATACTGCTTGTTCTATGATGTTTTGATTGGATTTAGTGCTCAGATGCTATGATAAAGGATGCTCGAAAACACCTAGAGCAGATATAGATATACAGTCCCCATCGAAATCAATGGGAATTTTCCTATTGACTTCAATGGGACCAAGAGTTCATCCATTTTGTATGCACTTGAGAACTCAGATTATATTTAATCTCTTCACTCTATTCATTCTGATTTATCCTTATAGAGATTTTATTACCAATTGTGTTTTAAACTCCAAGTTCAGCATGTTTGTAGGGAAATATTCTCAGCTTTCCATCTTTTTTTGGATTTATTACATTGCCACTCATGTTTTCTATACCTAAGCAACTCTTAGAAGAGTATCCTGTATATTACAGTTTAATGTTACCACTGAAGGCATTGGTGATTACAGACCTATATACACAGTGGCATATCTGCCTGGAGCAAAATGTGATCCAATAAAGCAATATCAAAATATTAACAACTTGTTAATTACTGGGCTCCGGGACTGCCAGGTGCTGAGCAGCACAACGAGCTCAGCACACTTCACATCTATTGGGAGTGTGCAGCACTTCCCACGATCAGGCTGTAATCTATGTGGGGGAATGGAGGGGAGAGAAAAGAGCTAGAGAATGTATTGGCTTTAAGTTATGGTGGAGTTGCAAGTGTAACTCAGGAGTTGCAAGTGTAACTCAGGAGTTGCAAGTGTAAATCAGGAGGAACTGCACTGAAGACAACTAATTTACACAATTGTAGCACTGATGTAAATAAGAGGATGGCCAAGCCCAATGTGATAGGCACTTTATAAATACTCACACACATATATATATACACACACACACCCAGAGAGAGAGAGAGAGAGTGAGTGCACCACATTATCAGTGCCTCTGTTCAGAACCATGACTAGAAATATTGATTATCAGGAGTAGGGCTGGTTTAAAATTTCCCCTGTTTTTCAATGGAAAAATGGGTTTTTGACAAAATGAATGTTTTTGTGAAAAGTGTCTGCTTTCTGTGTTCAATTTTGACTTTTCACTGAAAACCTGAATGCCCCCAAATAAAACAAAACAAAAAAAATCAGTTTTCATCTGACAACTGAAATATTTTGATTCTGAAATGCTGCCATGGTGTCTTATGGATATTGTAGTCTGGGTGTCTTATACTCCCATTCTCCTCTATGGGCCAGGCTCCCCAGCTAGACAAAATCTCCCATGATGCACTGCAGGCATACAATTGTCATGATGTACTACTTTCTAGGACCAAGCAGGGAGACATCAGACCAACGAGCTCCTCCCAGAGATGAGAATGGGAGCTAAAGGCACCTGAGCTACAATGCACATGAAATACCTCATCAGCATTTCCAAATTGAAATATTTAGGTTTTGGTATTTGATTTTTGCTGAAAACAAAAATTTCCATGATTTTTTTTTCTGTCCAGCTCTATTACTACTAAGATCTAAGTCCTAAACAGTAGTAAAAGACAGCAAATTGTAAAAACAAACAAACAAGCCAACCAACATTTTAAACTTAATCATAAGATCACAGAAGACCTGATAAAGGCCAGTATTTTCAAACATTGTGGACTAAAGTTTGCCACTGAAATTAAAGCAGCCTGATTTTCAGCATACTGAGCCCTTGCAGCTTCCCTGGACCTGCATGGGAGTTGTCAGCACTTCTGAAAATCAGGTCACTTTTATTGGGTTGCCAACATTAGGCACCCGAGTTTGAAAAATCTGGCCCCAAATTCTCAATTTAGAATTACATTGCAAAAGCAAGCATCACATACTGTGCTTTGGGTTCATGTTTGAGGAACTTAGCCATACTTAGAAACATAACTGTACATATCACAATCCGAACAGAAATTGCAAAAATGTGAAAATGACATCTGAGTTTAAAGCCAGAAGGGACCACCAGATCATCTAGTCTGACTTCTTCTGTATCACAGGCTCCCAACACCACTCAGTACCAGCACTAAAGCCAACAACCAAAAACAGACCAAAGTTTTACAGTCTATTATGTGCACAGGCAGAGAATAAGCGGGACTGAGGTGCACGGATGCTTGAAGCTCCTGCAATGGCAGGGAACTGATTAAGTGAGATACACCTCAAATAATCCCAGCAAGCGACCCACGCTCCCTGCTCCAGAGGAAGGCCAAACCCCCAAAGTCACTACTAATTTGACAGGGGTGGGAATTCCTTTCTGACCCTGCATATGGTGATCACAGACTTCATAGACTTTAAGGCCAGAACGGACCATCATAATCATCTGGTCTGACCTCCTGCAAATTGCACACCACTTAACCTCATTAACCCAGACCTATAATAGGTCCATAATCTGTGGCTCAGTTACTGAAGTCCTCAAATCTTGAGTTACAGAGAATCCACCATTTACTCTAGTTCAAACCAGCAAATGACCTATGCCCCATGCTGCAGAGGAAGGCTACACCCCCCACTCCCACCAGGGTCTCTGCCAACCTGAGCTGGGGGAAATTCTTTCCTGATCCCAAATATGGTGATCAGTTAGATTTTGAGCATATGGATGAGACCCATCAGCCAGACACCTGGGAAAGAATTCTCTTGGAATCCTCCCCATCTAGTGTCCAATCTTAGGTTGTTGGAGATATTTGCTAATTGCAGTCATGGATGGGCCATATGCTATTGTAGGCAACCTAATCATGCCATCCCCTCCATAAACTTATCAAGCTCAGTCTTGAAACAAGTTAGGGTTTTTGTCCCCACTACTGCCTTAGGAAGGCTGTTCCAGAGCTTCACTCTTCTGATGTTAAGACGCCTTAGTCTAATTTCAAGCCTAAACTTATTGATGTCCAGTTTATATCCATTTGTTCTTGTGTCAGCATTGGCCCTTACCTTAAATAACTCCTCTCCCTTCCTGGAGTTTATCCCTCTGATGTATCTATAGAGAGCAATCATATCTTCCCTCAGTTTTGTTAAGCTAAACAAGCCAAGCTCATTAAATCCCCTGTCATAAGGTATGTTCTCCTTTCCTCTGATCCCCCTCTCTGCAGCTGTTCCAGTTTGATTTCACATTTCTTAAACATGGGAGACAAGAATTTCACACAGTATTCCAGATGAGGTCTCACCAGTGCCTTGTATACTGGTAATATCACTTCCCTATCTCTACTGAAAACACCGCTCCTGACGCATTTTAAGACTGCATTAGCCCTTTTCATGACTGTGTCACATTGGTTGCTCATAGTCATGCTGTGGTCGACCAGTACACCAACGTCTTTCTCCTCCTCTATCACTTCCAACTGCTAAGTCCCTTCCTTATAGCAAATATTCTTGTTAGCCCCTAAAAATACTATTAAATTTCATCCCATTTCTATTACTCGAGTTTTCAAGATGTCCAAATCTTCCAATATGATATTGAAGGCTCCTGCATATTGGCAATACCTCCCAACTTTGTGAAATCTGGAAATTTTGTTAGTACAATCCCACTTTTTGTCCCAAGGTCATCAATGAAAATGTTACATAAACTGGTCCCAAGACCAATTCCAGAGGAACTCCACTAGTATCCTCTTTCCAGCCTGACAGTTCACCTTTCAGCATGACCTACTGTAGTCTCCCCTTTAACCAGTTCCTTATCTGCCTTTTAATTCTCAAATTATTCCCCACCTTCTCCAATTTAACTAAAAATTTCTAAATGTGGAACTGTATCAAATACTTTACTTAAATCCAGCTAGATTAGATTTACTGCATGTCTTCTGTCTAGAAAATTAGCTAGACCCTAAGCAAGAACCAGCCAGCTAAACACATGAGAGGTAGAATGCTTGGTGCCACCTGAGAGCGCTGGCCCACCTGTCCAGTTTCCTAGCTGTGACCATCCCTGATACTTCAAAGGAAGGAAACCAAAAAGATGGCAGAACACATTGGGAGTAAAATAATCTCTTCCTGACTCCTGCAGGTGCCTGACTGAAGTCCTGAAGCATGAGCTTTAGGAACACAAGACATAAACCAGAAGGGATGACCCAGTGCTGCCGAACCCTGCCCCCTACCATCACAACCAACTCGATCATACAATCCCATTCAAATTTATTGAGTTGTCTCTTAAAACTAATTAAGTTGTTTGTCCCCACAACTCCTATTGGGAGGCTGTTCCAGAACCTCACTCTTTTGGTGGTCAGAAATCCTCTAATTTCCAGCCTGAATTGTTCATGGCCAGTTCATACCAATTGGTTCTTGTGCCAACATTGTCCTTTATCTTAAATAGTTCTTCTCCCTCCCTGATGTTTTTCTGTTGATGTATTTATAAAGAACAATCATATCCTCTCTCATCCTTCTTTTTGCAAGATGAAGGAAGCCAATCTCTTCCACTGTCCTTTCATAAGACAGGCCCTCCATTCCCCTGATCATTCCATCTTCTCTGCACCTGTTCCAGTTTGAATTCATCTTTCTTGCACATGGGTGACCAGAATTGTAAACTGTATTCCAAATGCCTTGTACAGTAAAATGGCATTAATCGTTCCCTCTCTCTGCTGGAAATACCTCGCCTGCTACATCCTAGGATCGCATTTACCTGTTTTGCAGCCGCCATCACCTCGGTGGCTTATCATCATCCTGCGATCAATCCACACACCCAGGTCCATCTCCTCCTCTGTTGCTTCCAGTTCATAAACTCCCACTTCGTAGCAGAAATTCGTATTAGATCAGTGCATGACCTTTTGCACGATTGACTTTCATCCTATTTCTATTATTCTAGACTTCAAGGTGACCCAATTCTTCCTGTATAATTGTCTGATCCTTCTTTGTATTGATGATGCCTGCCAGTTTTGCATAAATAGCATATTTCATTAGCACACTTCAACTTTTTGTGCCAAGGTCATTAAAAAAGTATTGAATAAGATTGGTCCCAAGACTGAGTCCTGAATAACTCCACTAGTAACTTCCCTCCAGTCTGATAGTTCACTTTTCAGCAGAACTTTTCAGCCTTCTTCCCTTTAGTCAGTTTTTTATCCACCTTATAATTCATTTTCTCTAGTTTAATTAATAATTTTCCATGTGGTACCATGTCAAATGTTCTACTGAAGTCTAAATATATTAGCTCGGTTGCATTTCCCTTATCTAAAAAATCAGTTACTTTCTCAAAGAAAGAAAGGTTAATCTGGCATGATCTACATTTGGTAAATCCATGTTGCCTTATATCCCCTTTACCATTTACCCCCAATGAATTTTAATTGTTTTTCCTTCTGAAGTCTTGCATCCTACTGAGCAGTAGCCCTGGCTGGGATGATTTAGTTGGGAATTGGTCCTGCTTTGAGCAGGGGGTTGGACTAGATGACCTCCTGAGGTCCCTTCCAACCCTGATATTCTATGATTCTATGAGGTTAAGTCTGTAATTGACCAAATGACTTTTTTCCCCTTTCTTAAATATAGGTATAAAGTTAACTATTCTCCAGTCATTACCCCAAAATAGATGGATTAATTAAAAATCCTTGCTATTGGACTAGCAATTTCATGTGCCAGTTCTTTCAGTATTCTTAGTTGAAAATTATCTGTTTTATCTGAATAACACTGAGTTTTTCATCCACCTGAGATGTGGTAATTTCCATTTCTATACTCTTTTCCACCAGCCATCCTGCCTTCATGCCCGTGTTCCATATTATCATGCTTATTGAAAACCAAGGCAAAGTATTTATTTAGTTTTTGGGCCATACCTAAATTAGTTTGAATCACCTCCTCAGCCTCACTCATAGCAGCCCAACCTCATCCTTCCTTATTCCCCTTTTATTTATGTAACTAAAAAACTCATATGATCTATTTTTAATTTCCTTGGTAAGAGCTAATACATTTTGACTTTTAGCAATTTCTGCATAGTCTAACCTCCAGGATGTACCTTTCTTTGCTCATTAGTCCCCTTTACCATTCCTTATAGGCTCTCTGCTTACTCCTATTAACCTTCTTGAGGTAGTTAGTCGTTCAGCTGGGGCTGGAGTATTTCCATTTGATTTTTTTTTTCTTACATGGGATGCAAGTTACAGATAGCTTTTGTATAGCTGATTTAAAGAAATTCCAAGCCAGTTGACTTCTTTAACTAATTCCCTGGATTTCCCAAAGGTCACCCTTTTGAAATAAAAAGACATAGCTGACAACTTGGTTTTATTTATCCTTGCATTTAATTTAAACTTGTGATCACTCAGTCCACGGTAATTTCCTACGACCATCTCATCTATGATTTCCTCACTACTTACAAAAACCAAGTTTAAAATTGCATCACCCCTTGCTGGTTAGGCAACAATTTGATGAAGAAAACTGTCATCTATCATAGCCAGGAACAACTGGGCCCTACCAGTATTAAGAAGCATTTATTCTCTAATCTATATCTGGAAAGATAAAGTCTCCTATTATGACACAATTCCCAGTAGTGTTTTCCTCTCTAATATTTATTGTCATCCTCAAAAATGGTAATATTATTAGAAAGAGACATACTACTATCCAGATCTGAGTCCGACCCTGGGGATCTATAGCAGACCCTTATTGCTGTCCCAACAGAAGCTCTTTTTCAAACCTTCCCCAAAGTGATTTTGACCCAAATAGCTTCTGTTTTGTCTATACTGCCACTTTTTTTTCTTTACAGTTTACATTGATGTACAATGTCTTTATTTCTAGCTCTCCTAAACAGACATACCTTTCAATACCAGTCATGGGTGCTGTTTCACCACGTTTCTGTAATCCCTATGTCTGGTTTAATCTCCTGCACTAGTATTCCAGATCCTCCATTTTATTGCCCAGACTGTGCATTTGTGTATCATGTGTAAAGGTAATTCCAAAATTCCACTAATGCATAGGAGGAGCAAGTGTTCTTTGCAATTAAATTAAAGTCATTAATGGTATTAGTACATAAAATAAATGTTAATGACTCCTTGCTTTGAAATACTCAGTTCTTTACATGATGCATTTAAGAATGTTACATGGCATCTGGAATATATTAAAAATAAATATATACAGTATTTACAAAGTGTGATGCAATATATTCTTTAAAAAGTCTTGCAAAGATGTGAATTCTGTATCTTTAGCTCATCATGAGGTAAGTAAGTTTCCATAAGACTGGGAATTGAAGCAGCAGTCATTTTGGAGGAATCCCTTTGTCCAACTGTTGTGTTATCACTGGAGTGCCATTCATGGGTTGTTTTAAATGTACAGGGCAAAACTCATCCCTGATGTAACTCCAGTAAGGTCAGTTTGGTTACAGCAGGAATGAATTTGGCCCACTCTGTATTCTCTGTTGTGCCACTGTCTTCCACAGAAACTCCTTCTGCATCATCTAAACTTGAAGTCGTGTTCATCCCTGGTGTACACAGGTGCAATTCCACTGACTTCAATGGGCTGAGTTTGGCTGTGACACCTGTAACATATAATATGGATTTTACTGCTTATATACGGGGCCAGACTGGAGTCTTCAGTCGATAGTATAAAGGCAATCAAAGGTCTATTGACATATAATAATAATAATAATATATGGAGATATCCTCTCTCCTAGAACCGGAAGGGACCCCAAAGGGTTATTGAGTCCAGCCCCTTGCCTTCACTAGCAAGACCAAGTACTGATTTTGCCCCAGATCCTTAAGTGGCCCCCTCAAGGATTGAACTCACAAGCCTGGGTTTAGCAGGCCAATGCTCAAACCACTGTGCTATCCCTCCCCCCTGTTTTTTTGCCCCAGATCCCTAAGTGCCCCCCTCAAGGATTGAACTCACGAGCCTGGGTTTAGCAGGCCAATGCTCAAACCACTGAGCTATCCCTCCCCCCAAACATCATTTAGGAGAAAAGTTTCTAAACACTACCATAATTTTTTAAGCAGAATCCTCCATTGAAGTCTATGGGGAATTCTGCTTAAAAACTCATGTCACAATATTTCTCTCTGAATTTTCAAACATTTAAAACATTTGAATGATGATATTTACAAGTAATGGCTGTTGATTTAGAATCCTGATTTGGTCTTACAGTGTTATGTTTTACCTGAAAATATCCAATACTCAGATCCCTAGACGATGGGTGCATTGTAAGAACTTTAAAAAGGTGGGATGAAATATTACCTTTGCTCAAGCCAGCCACTCTCCCAGTTGTTACATGTTAGTTGCTACTTATTTAACATTTAGCTAATAAGTGGATTCATCAGTAGATACACTGGCCTGGTCCTTATCAGGATTCCATAGTGTACCCAAAGCACTTCTGATTTTTATTAAGTGTGTGGCACTCAGACACAGGCACAGAGTTGAGAATGATGAAAAATAATGAACACAGGCAGGAGCCGCATCTGTAGCGACACAATTAGACAGGCTTCCCCAACCAGAATCCCTTCTCACTGGTGTAAATGTGTAGCATCGATGAACCTCACCCATGCCACGTACATAGAAACAGCCACAGGACTGAAGATGGGCAAATTAAAGCTTAATAAAATAATAAACTCTGGTAGGAGCAACAAATAAACTAGCCTTTTCCATATCTGCTTTTCCTCAAGAATACAGCAATTTTTTTCCAGAGGACCAGTGTTTGAGTCACCACCCTACATGTTGGTTGGTACTAGGTAGGTCTGGGAAATTCATGATATACATGTGCACAATAGGTTTGTAATGCTTGCAGGTGGTATGGACATACATAGCTCATCCTATGCCTATGTTTGGGATCACGGGACTATATCCCTCTTTTTGATGCTACTGCCTCATTGTGTTTGGAGCTTTGTTCTGAAATAAGAAATCAACTCTGGTCTTCCATTTTTGAGGAGGTCTCATATCAAAAACAACATGACACGGGGAACAAATGACACATGGCAGATGTTAGTCACATTGCTTAATGCATTACTGGAGGGTGCTCAGATACCACGAGGAGGAGCACAGTATAAAAACCTATATAGCGCAGTTTAAGATAATATCAAATAACAAAAGGTATCCCAGGCAGTAACAACTAGAGGCTTCATCTTATACCTGCTGTCTTCAACGGCTGCAGTATCAGGCACTAAAAGAATTTCAGACAGTAGGTGTAATAGTTTGAGGAGTTTTTGTAGGAGCAGACATGAATCTGAGTGTGACTCCAGAGAAAAATTCTGATTTTTTTGCAGTGAAATATCCCTTCACTGAACAAAACTTAATCATGTGAGGCGTAGATAGTTCCATTAAAATAAAATCTATAATGCAGTGTCCAAGTACGAACAATAGTGATGCCTGCCAGTAGGACTATTAGACTAGTGGACAAAAGTCCTTCCTTAAACCTCATCCCACAGACCTAGACACCTGATTTCCCGTTCAAAGCTACAATGGGATATAAGACAGATAACAAAATATATAGGAGAGTCCATTTTGTGAGGGAATTAGGGGGCACTTAAAAGCACCCTCTCTCTGAGAAACTGAATGATAATGTCTTTGCCAGTCCTCCTCAGCACCTAGGGTAGTCTCAGACAATCTGAGAAAGAGAAGAAAATACCATATGACTTCTCCACATGACTCAGCCAGCTCAGATTCAAAGCCGTTTATGAAAAGATACTTTGAAATTTTCATTGACATTCAGGGAATGCAAAAGATTTGCATCCAAGTTTGGTGAGAATATCTGTTCTAAAAAATTTCTGTTATACCCTGGCACAGTCGGAGAATCAACACGAAGCTGAATCCAGGCTGATTTCATGCACACATTCCAACTCCAAGGCAAATATTGTATACACCTCCAGATACTTGCTCTTTACTGCAAGATCAAAACAAGTAGAAATCCAATGAAAATATTTAAATAACATATTACCCTCCCCTGAAATTACAATTTATACAGTTTCAAAGCAAATGATATGAAATTATAACTCTTTAAGTTTATAAACAAAGTTCTGGGTCAATTTGTCCTATATTCTTTGCCCTGCGATCTTGTGGTCACTGGTTAAAAGACTGTTGGATGTAAGATCAAATTTTAATTTACAAAGGCATCAAAAGACAGGGACAAATATACTACCAGTTGTGAATAGGTCCAGTACCATTTGCTGGGAGTGTGCTCATGTTGGTCAGCACAACATGTTCTGAAAGTTTTGAAACATTATCAAAATTGCTGATCTGGGTGGTCAAGGATTTCCGACTTTTAGTGCTTGCACGGCCCCTGGTGAGTCGTTCATCCTGGTGATGGTGAATGTCAAGCCAACAGCAAGAAAATGCTGCTTTAAATTCTTCTCTAAATTTTCCTGTCAATAGAAAAAGAATGCATGAAAACATTATTATACAAGCCATGTTTCAATAAAGCTAGCATATGGAAGAGACATGGTTAGCTAGTGCCAAAGTGAATCCAAAATAATCAAGTACTCTTCTAACATGACAAAAGCAGGAAAGAACAGTTTTAGTGATTCAGGAAAAGGCAACAAAATTCCACCTTTTAATAAGGATTTATAGTAGGTGCAGCAGGAATACTAAACTAATTTTTACAAGGCAGACTAGAATGGCTCTTAAGGCAATGTTTCAGTTTGTTTGCTGAGTAAATAAAACACATTTTATGAAAACAAATAATTGAGTAGGTTGATTGGGCTATTACTTGATGTGTGAAATGCGAGGACACAACTAATTTTTGTTTTACCTTGCACATTTTACAAAGAAAACCAGATGTAAAAAGATAAAGAAATATCTGATCTTCTGTATATTACAGTGATCATTTAAAGAAGCTCCTATTCTCTCCATTTTCAGGACCTTTGAAATAATTGGGGGCACATTGAAATTGTTACTACAATGAATTTTACTACAAGAAAGATGGTCTATATTTAAAGAACAGGGCTGGAAGTCAGGAGTTCTAGGTTCTATTCCCCATTCTGCCAGATTTCCTTGGACAAATTATTCACACCTCAGATTCACATCTCCCACCAGTTTCACAGTTGCTTCAATGGCGACTTGATTTACACCCATGTAAAATGAGATCAGAATCACACTCTTAATCTCTCTGTGTCTCAGTTTTCTCATCTGTAAAAAGGGGATATTAAAACTTACTTTCCTAACAGGCTAAATAAATGAATGCTTGTGCTCAGATACCAAAGAGATGGCACAGTATAAGTAAACACCTGGCGAAACAGAACCGAGAAGCTTGGTATGAAGCCATTTGGATAGCATAAGAGCTCCCAGACTTCCATGTAAAAACTTTAATTTAAACCCCAAACACATTCAGAAAAGTTTAGCTAAATCTTGTACACCTTTTTTTTGATGTGGCCTCTGTGTTAATAAGTTTAAGATAGGAGAAGAAACAGATGTGTTGGAATAAGAGTGTCCCACATCCAAATACCCTGAATTTTAGTGTTCTAAGCCTCTAGATCCAAATTTTGAGGTTTGAACCCATAACTGATGTTGTGTTAATTTAGATTGAATAAATGGCCCTAAGAGATAAGGTGTTACCATGACCCTGAAACTGTCCAAGGTTTAAAACAAAGTTTGGGATTTGGTATATAGAGACCACAGCCTCCTCAGTGCCAGGACAAAGATGCCTTTTAAATGTTTTAAATCTTTTATATAAAAGATGCAGGGGGAAACAAATTAAATCATTTGAAATGTGAAGTCTTAAGTAAGGGTTTCATTTTAACAGCATCTCTTATTCCCTTTCCTTTTGGCTGTAATGAGTTTTAGAAGGAAAACCGCTTGTTTGACTGTTTTTGAGACGGTAATAGAGATGGTAATAATTGTCCTGTCTGGGAAAAAAAGAAGAGCTTAGCAGAGATGGGTTAGAGCTATTGCTGCTGTTGTTAAAGTCTAATTCTATTTCCTAAAAGACAAAACAACACACACACACCTCATTGCTGGGAAACTGCTTGCAACCTCACTGCAGGCACAGCATAGTCTGATTAGCCACTCCAAGACCTGGCAAATGTTTACCAGCATAGAGCTGTTTAGGGCATTGCTTTTAGTTGCTTTTCTGGTCACAGTTACAGCATTGTTGCAGAAAAGACAGTTCTGGCTGTCTAAGCCAGACTCTTATTAGACAGAAAGAATAAGGAAATGGATAGGAAAGAAAAATAAGGTAGGGAAGGAAAAGGACAAGTTGGGGTGTGGTGTGGGGGAAGTCTCACATCCCGGGTGGTGTTTGGGATTTAGCCAAAGCCGTTGGAGATGTCATTTGGGTCCCTCTCTCTGGCCTGATCCACCTCAGGATTAGGTCCCAAGAAATGGTGGTGGTGGCAGCATGGTGGTGAAGCTCCCTCCCTCCCCTTCTCTCATTTTTCTGTCAGCAAGCATTCACGTTCCCTGCTTTTGGTCAGCCAGCATTGACTTTCTCTCATTTTCTTCTTCGGCGGCAATTCGGCGGCAGGTTCTTCCCTCCGAGAGGGACCAAGGGACCTGCCGCCAAATTGCCGCTGAAGAGCCCGACATGCCGCCCCTTTCCCTTCCCCTTGGCCGCCCCAAGCACCTGCTTGCTGAGCTGGTGCCTGGAGCCGGCCCTGCCCCAAGTGAGTAATGAATGGAATAGCCCATCCCTTCATTATTCTGTCCACCAATTAGGCCTAAACTCTAACAATTTTGGTTCACTGATTTCCAGTCCCACACTTCTCTAGTTTACCAGACATGATCTTAACACCGTTCTTGAATTATATCAGTCCGTCTTTTTCGTTTGTACATTTGTTGTTATAGGTTATTGTGACATTTTATGAACTTCCATTCCCTTTTCACAGTTGAGCTCACAATTAGGGTAAATTTGTAGGCCCAATTGTCACAACACTAGCCAGAAATCTTGGTTAACAGGCCATTGTTTGCTAGATATCGTTGAATTGACTGGAAATAACAAGAACAGCAAATCCTATTCTCATTAGATTTCCTGAACAGTTTTGCAGACCTTGGATACCCAGATGAGCATCCAAATGTTTATCCAAAGCTTATCTGAACCACACCTCTAAACTTCATTCATCACTAGCTGTGACCAAACCTGCAACAAACCAAACTAAATGGTAAGAGGGCTGAAGAAATGTTTGGTGATTTTTTTTTACATGCTATATTTCTACTGAAAACAGTCTGATACAAATAATACGGAAGGATCAAAGGTAATAGAAGAGAGAATGGTAAATAAATGTCATTTAGGAATATTTTCAGACTATTTGTACATTATTATATTTTTACAAAGGCACAGTATCATTACACGAACAAGCAGGTAGATATTAAAAACATAAAATTGTAATTTGTAATATTTTTCTACTGCTTCATTTATCTTTAGAAAATAGCTCTTTCACCACAGACTCAAAAATCCCCAGCAGTAAAACAATAAAAACACATAGGTTTTTTTTTTTTTTTCCATCTAGGTAGAGAATCTTCTGAGATTCAGCGACTTCCCCTCCTTTATCTCCCTCACCCAAGGCCATGTCTTGCAGGGGGATTCCTGCCATTTGAGGCCTGGAAAGGATTAACTGAAAGTAACAGATAATTTCCCCCTTAATTGTGCGGTCCTCACAATACTTGTAGTCCTTACTCAGAGCCAGATTCTGCCACCCTTAGGCACCCTCCTCTGCCCTGAACCCAGCCCCAAGCTCTCCCCTACCACTCTCCTGCTGCTTCCAGCCCCACACATTACCCACTGCTCTGCACCCTGACTCGTGCTCTCCTCCCTGCCCTCCTGATGCCCCTAGTCCTATGGTATTCCCCACACATTGCCCCACACCCACCTTCCAGCTCTCCCCTCTGCATGGGGTCACAGCTCTGCTCAAATTTGGCCCCACTGCCCTGACAGGGAGTGGCATTGCGATGCAGTGCATGGGGTTGCAACACCACTCAAATTTGGCGTGTTTGCCTCCCATTATATGGGGGAAGCTGGGTCAGATTTCCAGCTCCAAACAGGCACCAAAGGAGGGCTAGGCCCCTGACTCCATCCCTCATCATTGCACCCCAAAATCTACACTTCAAACTAGTGGGTTAAATTCCAGCTTGAGGAGACATACTCACCTTAGCTCTGATCAAGCTAGCATGCTAAAAATAGCATGAGCAGCAGGACGGGACAGCCACCCTGTGTATGTGCCTACAGTCTTGGATGGGTACATACTCGGGGCGGCAAGTCCTTCCCATTGCTCCCACTACTGTGGCTATCCATTTTTAGCTTGCTAGTTCGATTAGAGCTAGTGCAGGTATGTCTCCTCGAGCTGGGATGACACCTTCAGCTTGAAATTTAGACCTCCCCTGTCGTTTGAGCATTAGCCTGCTAAACCCAGGGTTGTGAGTTCAATCCTTGAGGGGGCTATTTAGGGATCTGGGGCAAAAAAACCTGTCAGGGATAGTTCTTGGTCCTGCTAGTAAAGGCAGGGGACTGGACTCGATGACCTTTTAAGGTCCCTTCCAGTTCTAGGAGATAGATATATCTCCATATATATATATATATATATATATAAATGAACACTCCCTATAAAATTAATGGGGATACTTGAGAAGGCAAAGTGCTACTCAAGAAGTGTAGGAGATTGGGAGGATAGAGGGACTGTTATCAGGACCTGCACCTAGAGCCCAGTGGTTCAGTTGTACTGCTGCTCAATTTTCAGGTCAGGCTTTAACCTAATTGGTTACTATGCATTACACTTTAACTACATTTTTAATATGTAACACAGTGATCATCTGGAAACTCACCACTGAGAAAGTTATAAATGATAGGGTTCACTGCACTGTTGGCATACACAAGCCAGTGCGAGAATGTAAACCAGGCATACACAGTCTCTCTGTCATCAGCATAGTTAAACATCCCCAAAACCCTGCAAAATAAAGAGGAAAAAGCCAGTCTGAAAGACAGCGCATAAGACTGAATATAAATGCTGTACTTTTATTCTATCTGTGATATCACATAAAGCCCTGATTCAACACATCCAGCTTTCCCAAGAAAATACAAAACCTCTTCCCACCCAACAACCAGCTTCCATGAGGGTTTTGCACAGCGTAGAAGCCACAAGCAGTTTTGTCTTTAATGCACACATGTCATCCAGCTAGATAACAAAAGGGCAATTTATATCATCCAAGGCAAGGGTGGGAAAAGGTGTCTTTAAGCCAATATGACAATCTCCCAATTCTGGATCCAGCCTCTCAATTCTGGGCCCAGCTCCTAGTGCAACGGGGCAGCTGTAGAGTTAGGGTGGCATTGACTGGCTGCCTATGGATTCTCTGCTGGCCCAAAATAGTTGGACTGCAGTGGCTCCAGCAGCATCCCCTCATGTCCTTGTGCAGGAGGCTGCTGCATTTAACCACTATGGATTATATAAGAAATGTCCATGTTAACTCTCTGATTACAAGCTTCCCTCCAATATATTGCAGTATGACTATATGAATACACTGAAAATAGAGAAGTGGCACCATCCACCTGACATTTGCCAAAGGACTTTCAGGTAGGCAGTGTTGTTGTAGCTGTGTTGATCCTAGGATATTATAGAGACAAGGTGGGTGAGGTAATATCTTTTATTGGATCAACTTCTTTTGGTGAGAGAGACAAGCTTTTGAGCTTCCACAGAGCTGAAGAAGAGCTCTGTGTAAGATCAAAAACTTGTCCCTTTCACCAACAGAGGTTGGTCCCATAAAAGATATTACTAATCCACCTTGTACGTCTATCTTTCATCAGGGCAATACAATCAGTTCTCTTTGGTTACATTTTACTTAATGTAATCCTGCCAAGACAGTGACACTATGCTCATCAGCTTCGCAGCTATAAATGTTATTGGAGGTCAGACAGTATAATTTCTCCCCAGTATGTCACTCTGTGTGTGTGTGTGTGTGTGTGTGTGTGTGTGTGTGTGTGTGTGAGTGTGAGTGAGAGAGAGGAGAGAGAGAGAGAGAGAGAACTGATAGAACACAGAGTGTTTACTGAATATACTGTTTGACTGACATAATCACACATATAATTAGTTGATTTGCCTGTTATTTACTGATTCATTGATTACTCTGATATCAATATAATAAGTCTTCATAAAAATTCTCCTTTTACTTTTATTATATTCTGGGAGCATCATCCAAGCTTGGAAGAATTGAAACACTTTATATTTTTGCGTTTGTTAAACAATAAAAGCTTGCTTGCTTCCCCGATTTTGGTAAATTTCTGCATAGTTATATACAGATCAGTTATTAATATGTGAAACACCAGAACACAATCCTTTGGGCTTAATTCTGCTACACATGCTCACACTGAGTCATGCCATACACCAGGGCAGTCCCACTGAATACTAACCCACCTAATGTTCTCCATCAGATACTGCACTCCTGGAGTCTATTCACGCAAAAATATGTTTGAATGTGTAGGTCAATGAGATTTCTTGCATGAGTAAGTAACCACCAACATGAACACGGATTTTACAATCTGGCCCCAAATTTCTGCCCTGATAATTGTTTAGCTAACAATTTGCTTACAGCTGCACACTGAGCTTCAGTTTCTCTATTGTAAAATATGTCGGTATCTATTTCAAAACTAAAATCAACAAAAAAGAATATAGCAAACCATGTCATAGAGAAATGCTTTTAGACAGAAAACTTTCCCCAAACTCTTTACTGCTTGTGGACAAACTTTACCTTTTTAAGACGTTGAGGATACTAATTGGTAGATAGCAAAGTGCAAAAACCAAGAGAACCACCATTAGCATACGCGCTGTTTTCCTCCTGGCTCGAATCTGTTTTATTTCAGCTGCTACCCCACCAATCCTTGACTTGGTTGATTGTCCCAGTCCCCGGGGCTGTGCTAAAGAGGGCAGAGGCTTCCATTTTCTTTGAACTACTGAGGAAGTTCCTGGGATCTAAAAGAGTAAATAGTCAATGGAATCTTCGTTAATGCTGTTTAAGGGAAATTCATCACCATGTAAAAAGACGCATTGTAGGGAGTTAATACAAAAAAGATAGACAGGCTGAAATAAAGCTCCATAATAACACAGTACAGTTTAGTAACTTGTCAAACACTTTAATCCAACACTGCTGTTCATTTAAGAGAAACAGGTTTTAAAAGGTATTACTAAGTCATGGCTGGGATTGTCTGTATAAGTATAGAACTATGCACATAACTGTGTGCATACCGGGCTTTATATGCTCATACCGTGTTTCCCCGAAAATAAGACAGTGTCTTATATTAATTTTTGCTCCCAAAGATGCGCTAGGTCTTATTTTCAGGGGAGGTCTTATTTTTCCTGGAGCTTCGGGGCCTTATATTCCGGGGTGGCCTTATTATCGGGGAGGTCTTATTTTCGGGGGATGTCTTGTATTACAGGGAGAGGCAAAACTGGAAGTAGGTCTTATTTTCGGGGGATGTCTTATTTTCGGGGAAACAGGGTAGCATTTTCAAAGATGTGTCCTAAGTGTCCATAAGGCAGCTGTGCTCTCTCTATTTATTGGGGGGCGTGAACTTATTTTTTCTGCATTGTGGTCATTGCCCAGAGTATTCCTTACAGAGATTTGCAAATAGTGTGTGTGTGTTGGGGGGAGTGGGGGAATCATAACAGGATGTATGACAAGTTAGGCTATCCCACGACATGTCTAAATGGGTAGGTGCTGGCCCACCATTGCTCTCTGGAGATTGGCAAGCACAGAGAGCCTGCTGGTGGAGAAGCTGCTCATGGAGGAAGGAGGGCTAGTGGTAGAAAACCCAGACAGTGTGGTGAAAAAAGGACATTTTAGCTAAGAATGGGTTACAGAATAAAGGAAAGGGGCACCAGGTTAAAGGCTTCTCAGTGAGTATAAAGGCGATCTGTGGGGCAAGAGATGCTCATTTTGGCCTCCTCAGCTTTCTGACTGATGCCTTGATGGGACTAACTGAAAGTGCATCTGTTGGGCACCTCGTCATGTACAGACACCCCATGGAGACTGAATGGGAGAACTTGGCTCTCTCACTTCCTGTGGTGGGTGGGGTTGGAAAAGATTGCGTTTCCTTAGTCAGAGCAGCTAGCTGGAGGTCCGTGGTCCCAACACCAGTGCAGACATGGACTCACTGAATCCCTCGGGAGTGGGTGCTGTGCCAGGTGGAGCTCGGACATCTAAATTCTGGGTAAGTAGCTGACTAACTGCAAAGGGCTCTTGCAGAGACACAGCTACACTGGTCAGGGCCTCTGTCACAGTACACTGGGTCAACTCCCCACTGCTGCCTAGCACTCACGTGGGCCCAGTTCGCTATTTCCCCAGTTCTCCTTCAGACCAGACAGCCCACATGTCTCATCGCTTTAATTTCCTGCAGCAGGGCATCAGAAACTCCTCAGCATTTGTTAATGTCTCCTGTGAAGGAGGTGTTGGTCCCTGCCTAGAAGAAGAATTGCTCCGAAAGTATTAAAAATCCATGAGGTGGACTCCAAAAATCATAAAACTGGGCTGATCATGAGATTAAAAAAAATCCTTGTTTGTGTCGGCCTTCTCCTTTCTGAGATTTAGGGCAAAGCTAGTCCCCACTCCCAATTTGTGTGTCATCCTTCTGGGTTGAAAACACACACAAAGCATGGCTACTCTCCAGCTTCCAGCTGCTCAGCCTTCTCCCATTCTTCCTCTCTGCTTCCCCACAGTGTCCTTTCCAACACCTGCTTCCTTACTTCTCACTCTTTCCTTTATAGCCTCCCGCCCCTCACATTCTCCCTCTCTGAACCCCCACGACTAAAAACTTTGACTGCCCTGTTTGCAGGAGATAGGCTTTGGTTTTGTTTTCAGTAAGTATACAGGCTGTGGGAGAGCATACAAGGGGACTGAGGCCAGGGTGAAAAGTAGGCGTTTTTACATTTATCTCTAAAGCAGGGACTGTTTTCTCCCCATCTCCTTCATCGCCCCTCCCAGGAGGTTTTATGCTGGCCCTCTGAGCTGCAGGTGAACTTCACTCACAGAGAATCCATGAGCATAAATATAATGAAAATGTCAAACTGTGCAGGAACAATTGTTTCTATCTTCAATATTTTGCCACTTGTTTATATCTCCATTTTAAACCTGTTTAAAGTACTGGTCACTTGGAAAGTTTCAACTAATTCTGTAAAGTTCAGCAAGAGAGTTTCTGGGTTTATTTCCCCCAACTAGTTAATTTGTCATGTACCAAAAGGCTTTTTTTTTTTCACCCTCACATAATTCAAACATGTAAAAGGATTTTGCTTCAACTTCCCCAAAATTCCAGGGGTGAGACCAAGTATGAACGGCTACACATGAAAAGGTCGACTTTTTCTGAGAACTGTGAGGGTTTATAATATGAGGGCAATATTACACCCTGGTTCTGCAAACTGTTATGCATGTGCATGGCTTTACTTGTGAGCAGTGCCATCGGCTTCAACAGGACTAGTGACATGAATAAAGTTATGCACATGTTTAAGAGCTTGCAAGATCCAGTCCTTTGTTATACACATTTTAAAAGTTAAGTTTTTTCTACGCAGGGAAAGTGCCCAGCATCATTATTCTGCAATAATTATTTAAGAATAGCTCCCTGTATGGACATACCTATTCTGGAATCAGAGTGCCTTTTTTCCAGGTTAGTTTAATCCACTTCTAATAACTCCATGAGGGGAGTTATTGAGGAATAGCTATCATGCTTCAAATTGGCACCCGACCTTACTCTGGAAAATTTCCCTGTGTAGACAAGCTCTTAATTTAGGATTTATTTATTTTTTTAAACTTGATTCAAGTTCGCTGTAATCTTCCAGTGAAGATCCATAATGACAAACAGGAAACCAGTGAAGTTGGTTGTAGGGAACTGTGGGACACATGATAATATTTAGTATATTACAGGTGTTTTTATAAACACAAGAAATAAAATCTGAACTCTGACATCACACCACTGAGGATTCACAGCCTTTTGGCCAAGATCCACAGTCTTGTCAATTTAGTATCTGAAATCAGTATGTCCTATTTCCGGAGACTTATCCTACTCTAATGGCAGAATTGACTCTGATTTATTGTACTGGGTCTTTTCCATCTCACTGCAGAGAAACTACACAGAGAGGTGCTACACAAAAACCTGAATTTGGGCTTTGAGAAGTATTTTGATGTTCTGTTCTTCCAAAACTGAAGCTTTTCCTTCTACTTCAATCTTATCTTGTTTTCTGAGTTATATTAATAGCAAGAACTGATCAGAAAAACAAACAAAAAACCCCCCCAAATATGTTGGCAATTTCCTCTCCTCTTGATTTTATTAAAATTTCATTTCAACAAAAATTTTCTGACAAGCTTTATTGATATTTGCATCCAATTTGGATACAAAGGAATGGAATCTTGCCTCAAGACTTTGTATCGCTTGTTTCTAATGAAACATGAGACATGATTGATGAGTCTGTGGTTAGAGATGACCAATCTGCTTTTCAAATGCTTCTAATAGCAAGAGGGGATCATAGATACAGATTGTGGTACAATGTTGATCTCCTTGTACATCCTATAAAGCTGCCCGGTGTTGTAGGAGTTACTACCGAGAACTTACCTAAAGAAACCTGTTCCTGTTCTACGTCCACTTTGGAGATAAGCAAATAATTCATAAGATGTTGCAGGCAAAAAATAAAATAAAATAAAATAAAATACATAGTCACAGTCGGGCTGCTAAAAGTACTACGGCCTGAAGAGAATAAAGCTAGGCTTACATACGTACTACTGATGCACATTTTAATCACATACATACCAGCACAACACACACTTTTCCCAGTTATTACTATCCAATGAATTATAGGGACACATTTAGCTGAGACAATTTGCAGAACACAAATAAGCTTTACATCAGTATTTAGAATGGTCAGAACTGGCACTAGAAGTTGTAAAACTGCTGTTTTCATCCCACGTGTATCAAGCTGGAAAGGCAAGCATCATAATCTTGCTTTTAAAACTCGGAAAAATTTTGAAAACAAAACCACAATGAGTCCAATAAATCTAAGCACATGTATGTGACTCTCTAATTATTGAATGTGTGTCAGCATGTCCAGCATAAAGCCATTCAGTCCTACGGAGATTGTTCAGCTCTTGCTTTATCTCTTCTCCATGATTCATAAAGGAACAAAATCCTTTTGAACAGGAGGGATGTCTACCTATTAGTAAGCAATGTAGGTTAATCTGAAAGCCAGGCCTCTGATGCTGTTGCCCTTTGTCTTCCATAAAGCTCCTAATTCTGAGATGATAAAACCATGTTTGCAAAGACTGGGAGCAAAGACATGATCGATAGCTTGGAGAGCAGACAGAGGGTAAAACACAATAGGAATGTCATGGGAGTCATGGAGGCTAACTTTTAAACACCCGAAGATTCACTTTAGAAACAGCCCTCATTTTGAAACAAACTGCTTCAAGAAGTTTTCTGTCAAGGCCTGGGAATGCCTTGGCTGTTAGTACTTTGAATTTCATCATGTAAGTCTAGCAAGATCAGCGGTACATTGCAGTAATCAGAATATTTAGATGGCATTCTGATAAACAGCATGATTCCTTACTTGGGGCTATTACCAAAGATTTAGAATAGGGCTGTCGATTAATCGCAGTTAACTCATGTGATTAACTAAAAAAATTAATTGCAATTAATCGCAGCTTTAATTGCACTATTAAAACAATAGAATACCAATTGAAATTTATTAAATATTTTTGGATGTTTTTCTACATTTTCAAATATATTGATTTTAATTACAACACAGAATTCAAAGTGTACAGTGCTCACTTTATATTATCATTTTTATTACAAATATTTGCACTGTAAAATGAAAAATAAAAGAAATAGTATTTTTTAATTCATCTCATACAAGTACTGTAGTGCAATCTCTTTATCATGAAAGTGCAACTTACAAATTTAGATTTTTTTTTGTTATGTAACTACACTCAAAAACAAAACAATGTTAAACTTTAGAGCCTACAAGTCCACTCTTGTTCAGCCAATTGCTATGACAAACAAGTTTGTTTACATTTACGGGATATATTACTGGCCGCTTCTTATTTCTAATCTCACCTGACAGTGAGAACAGGTGTTCGCATGGCACTTTTGTAACCAGCATTGCAAGGTATTTACATGCCAGATATGCTAAACATTCATATGACCTTTCATGCTTCGACTACCATTCCAGAGGACATGCTTCTATGCTGATGATGCTCGTTAAAAAAATAATGCATTAATTAAATTTGTGATCCAACTCCTCAGGGGGAGAATTGTATGTTTCCTGATCTGTTTTACCTGCATTCTGCCATATACTTAATGTTATAGCAGTCTCGGATGATGACCCAGCACGTTTTCCATTTTAAGAAAACTTTCACTGCAGATTTGACAAGATGCAAAGAACGTACCAATGTGAAATTTCTAAAGATAGCAACAACACTTGACCCAAGGTTTAAAAATCTGAGAGGGATGAGGTGTGGAGCATGCTTTCAGAAGTCTTAAGAGAGCAACACGCCGATGCAGAAACTACAGAACCCGAACAACAACAAAAAGAAAATCAATCTTCTGCTGGTGGAACCTGACTCAGATGATGAAAAAAGAACATCCGCCAGTCCGCACTGCTTTGGATCGTTATCAAGTAGAACCCGTTATCAGCATGGACGCATGTCCTCTGGAATGGTGATCGAAGCATGAAGGGACATATCAATCTTTAGTGCATCTGGCACATAAATATCTTGTGACACCAGCTACAACACTGCCATGTGAACGCTTGTTCTCACTTTCAAGTGACATTGTAAACAAGAAGCGGAAAACATTATCTCCTGCAAATGTAAACAAACTTTTTTGTCTGAGTGATTGGCTGAACAAGAAATAGGACTGACTGGACTTGTAGACTCTAAAGTTTTACATTGTTTTATTTTTGAATCCAGTTATTATTTTGTACATAATTCTACATTTCTAGGTTCAACTTTCATGATAAAGAGATTGCACTACAGTACTTGTATTAGGTGAATTGAAAAATACTATTTCTTTTGTTTTTTTACAGTGCAAATATTTGTAATAAAAAATAAATATAAAGTGAGCACTGCATACTTTGTATTCAGTGTTTTAATTGAAATCAATATATTTGAAAATGTACAAAATACCCAAAAATATTTAAATAAATGGTATTCTCTTATTGTTTAATTGCGCAATTAATCGTGATAATTTTTTTTAATCGCTTGACAGCCCTAATTCAGAACAATGCATTTCAATTACACTAAAAATAGATTGTGGCACACCTACCTCACTTAGAAGGATGCCTGCTGTCTGCAAGCCAATTCAGTCATTAATAGATGTGAGTGGTTTTAATTTCCCTTAATATGACCCCTTGTACACTTTGACTACATCTACACTTGGAAAACTTACATCTGTAATTCTCCATCAGTAGTAGCAACAATACCTTAGTGATGCTTTCTTTTTGCTACATAATCAATTTTCAAATCGGGATCATCCTCACATGTGTTTTCAGTGTGGACAAGGTAAAGCATCTGAAAAATGTGTTAACCTGATTTAAACAACAGGGCCAACTAGCAAAAAAACATTTCTTTTGTTGATGGAGTCCACATGATTCACTCTTATTCTAAAGATTAAATACCCAAATACTTGAAAAAAATATTTAAAAAGTTTTAGGATCTTAAATTATGAACATTGAACATGGCTAGACTTAAAACTACAGATAACACATTTGTAAACAGAAAGGTTAAAAAAACCAAAACCTAACAACATCTGAGTCCAGGATAATCCATGTACCAATGACATCACAAACCCCTGTGCTGTGCTTTTGTGATTTCATCAACCCTTGCAGGTAATATATGTCCTGGGAATATGTGAAAATTTTGATTTTTATGCATTTTTTGTTTTGACATGCATACCCTCGAAAATTTTAAGTCTACATGTGATAGATCCAGATGGAGCTGCATGTACTATGTCCCTGATCTGGTGGATATTATATCTGTAACAGGACATCCCATCTCCAGATCTCATCAGAAGTAATCACAGGAGGAAAATTATTCATGGTTAAGTGGTGATGTAAATGGTAGATTCCCACATGAAAGTCTGGAAGATGGAGTGTCTCACCTCACACCCTACGTCTTCAAAATGCTCACTTTTATTGGTCTTTTATGGGGTAGCAGCAGGGACTGGATAGGGATCTAGCAGGTCCTATGTAAAGCATTGCAGCAGCAGGTGAAGAAGCCTCTGCTAATTTGCACAGTGTACTCATGTGCTGAAAATGATGCTCCAACACAGTGTTAGATGAAAGTGGTGAAAATGTTTCTGAAAATTTCCACACCATTATTCAGGTGATTTTGTTGCTGTTATTCTGTTTTCCAATCACTCCAATGCAAAATTTGAGAAAATGGCCACATTTGCAAACTTTAGATTTTTAAGGCAACCTTTTCTCAGACTGGGCCCATTATTGCTGGAAAATGGTGGCACATTTTTCAGCAACAAATACATGAGCTGTTACAAAAATTTCAGCTCAGTTTTGAGTTTTTAACAAAATGAGAAAAAATTGCAACTTTCATACACCTCTGCAGCTCAAGGAGATATAAAATATCTGTAAAATCAACCTCAGAGCTCAACAGCTATTCTCTCGCAATAGGAACCTTCAATCAGGACAGCTGGGGATCCATCTTCTTCCCTTAATTGATCTTTTTGCTTCCTCTGTCCCCTAAATCCTCCATGTCCTAGATGGCGCCCCTAGACTCGAGCACAAATAGTTTTTCATTCTGCTTGGCTGCTGTCATTAATAAATGAAATAGTCTGCATCCTAGTCTTCCATAATTGCACACCCAAAACTGCTATTGAAGTTTGTTGGGTACAAAAGGGTGTATTGATCAGGTCCTGAGTGGCATTATGGAATTTATGGAGAAAAAGGTTGTCTATTCAAATAGACAAACATAATAAGCCATATAAATCAATGACTTACCTGGCGGCACCATAGTTTTCGAAATATTTGTAAATAGGCCAACACCATAAGACACAGCGGTGCCACGCATGTCACCAGAAAAAAACAGGTGTGATACATTTTGGGGTAGACCTCACCTGGAAAGAGAATCAAAATAGAAAAAGAATGTACACACAAATATAGTTTAAAAATTACTTAAGTCACATTATACCTGCAGATACTCAAGTGCAGGCCGCATTGATTATAATGGGAGATATATACATGCATCTGATGGCAGAAATTAGTCCATTGCTTTTAGATTCATTCTATTCATATATTTTAAACAGGCTTTTGCTGCATAGTAGTATGTCACATTGGTGTGTGAAGTGCTATGTCACATTCCTTTGTTACATGTGTGTTAATTTTTAATCAATACAGGATGCTATTATCTAAAAGCTGTTATCCAGCTTTTAGATAATAACTATCAGTTTGTTACAATGCTCTGTCTGCACTGAATATTGTAATTTAATACATCATTGAGAGGAAGCATGGTCTAATGCTCAGGTGCTAGCCTGGGCCACGGGAGACCCATGCTCAAGTCCCTGCGCTGCCACAGACATCATGTGCGACTGTGGGCATGTCACTTAGGGCTTATCTACACACCCTATGGGCATGTGGTTTCTAAAGTGCACTAACATATTGTGTATTAACTGGTCTGTGTAGCCCTTGATGGTACACACCAAAGGCTCCTTTATGCTCTTTAACGTAGCATTTTTTCAAACAGCACCAGCAGGGTCTCCACAGACCCTGTTAATGCACTAACATGTTAGCATGCTTTAGAAATCACATCCCCCTTGAGTGCAATACTACACCACTTAGTCTCTCTGCCACAGTTCTCCATCTGTAAAATGGGGATAACAGAATTTTCCTACCACACAGGCATGTTGTGAGGATAAATACATTCAAGACTGTAAGGTGTCCAGGTACTGAGATAGCGATGAGGGCATATAAGTACTTAAGGTGGACAGATAAGGATGTCTTTCTGCTCCTGAAATAAATTTATAAGATGTACTCTGAATTGTGGCACTTAGGTGTTAAGTATATAATAGTGCCACTTTAATGCTGCACACTCTTTCTTGAGTATCCTTTATTACCACCTGTCAAGTCCTGTAAGTGTACCCTGCATGTTTTGGTTTGTGGAGCTCACATCAATTATACCATCAACACCTTTTCTCTAGTAGTTTGAACATTTATTTTATTGTTAATGATAATTTGCACTTGTTTAGCTGCCATGATCTCATCTTTACACATGATGAATTTAAATGAATTAAGCCTCACAATACTCCTGTGAGACAGGGAAATACCCTCATTCACCTTTCACAGCTGGAGAAATTAAGTTTATGTGATTTATTGAGACCACAGGAGGTCAATGAGAAAGCTGAGAATAGATTCTTCCTACTCCCAAGGCATTGTCACCTGCCTCATCAGAGCTCTGCAGGCAGCAAGGTATCATCAGGAGTTTATGGCTTCCAATTTAGCAGTCTGAGTAAAATGGAAACATTAAAGCAGGCCAGCTAAGTACAAAGCACTGATGGGGCAGGCTGGAGGAAGAAGCCAGCATTCTCCTTTGAAGTTCAGCCACCTGCAAAGTGCTAGCGGCTGAACATCAAAGGAAACCTGTGTTCCTCCTCCACCCAGGGCAATGCACTTTGCAGAGCTTTTACTTAAGAAGCTTGAATCTGTTTAGCTTCTCAAGCTAAAATAAAGCTTTCAAGCTGCCTAGTAATTACTGCAGCAGGCAGGAGGAGGGACTGGTCTGGGATGCTGGTCATTTATCAGATGGTTTAGTCCCTGCCACCATACTCAGACTGGTGCTGAGTGGGAGCATCCATCAGTGTTCTGCATAACGATCAGTGGTGACATTTCAGCTGCCTAACTGAAAACACCGATCCTTCCCACACAAGCCAGGGGTGGGGAATGGCCAGGGGGAGAGAAAAGTCCTTATCTTAGATGGCCCACTACATGGGCTTTCAGACAGGAAGGCGGGATACACAGGTGTGGTGGTCCCCTCTCCAAGGAGAACGGGAAGATCACCATGTCTAACCCCCTTTGCTGAAAAGAGGGGTGAAAACTCAAAAGCATTCATGGGGGTAGAATGAGGAGATGGTACTTGCCAATGTGCTTATCTCACACCTGAGATCCTTGATGACAGATGCAGAGTCTCACCCCACTCCACCTATCACTCAACTGGTGTGCGTGTGGGGGGGGAGAAATGGAATGAAAGGTCTTTGGATTTGAGGAATGAGAGATGGACAGCCTGTTGGATGGGAATGGAGGAAGGGTCTGAAAGGACAGGTTAGAACAAAATAGTGGGATAGAAATGGTGATGATCTAGTGATGATATTACAGAGGACGTGGCTCAGCTCTCTGATTTATCAGCTTTTCATGGACTTTTGGTAAATTTGCCCCACACATTATCATTTCTGGAATTATCAAACATATAGTCTTTAGCCAACAACTTCACCTGCACATCTACCAATGTGATATTGTGCCAGCAATGCCCCTCTGCCATGTACATTGGCCAAACCGGACAGTCTCTACGCAAAAGAATTAATGGACACAAATCTGACATCAGGAATCATAAGACTCAAAAACCAGTGGGAGAACACTTTAACCTGTCTGGTCATTCAATGACAGACCTGTGGGTGGCTATTTTACAACAGAAAAACTTCAAAAACAGACTCCAACGAGAGACTGCTGAGCTGGAATTGATATGCAAACTAGATACAATCAATTTAGGATTGAATAAGGACTGGGAATGGCTGAGCCATTACAAACATTGAATCTATCTCCCCTTGTAAGTATTCTCACACTTCTTATCAAACTGTTTGTACTGGGCTATCTTGATTATCACTTCAAAAGTTTTTTTTTCTCTTACTTAATTGGCCTCTCAGAGTTGGTAAGACAACTCCCACCTGTTCATGCTCTCTGTATGTGTGTATATATATCTCCTCAATATATGTTCCATTCTATATGCATCCGAAGAAGTGGGCTGTAGCCCACGAAAGCTTATGCTCTAATAAATTTGTTAGTCTCTAAGGTGCCACAAGTACTCCTGAACTTTAACTCTGTGACACATAATTCTAGGGGTTCATTTGTATCTTGTACTCCACTGCAGAATTTACAGCATGCAAAACGTGAGGTGACATATTCAAATCTAAAGTAATGCGCCCTTGTTGTGTATTCATAATTGCAGCAGATCAGTGACAGAGGTGTGCCCTCAGCTGACGTGGCCAAGTTGCGTGCATGCATGTGCGTGCGTGTGTGTACATACACACACACTTACACATACATATACATATACATATATAAACCTCTCTCTTCAATACATATCAACATGTAACATTATTGTTCCTACTCATTTTTGCATTTCAGGGTCCCTTGAAAACAAGCTGTGGATGCTGCTGGAACTTTTCCAATCCTCAGATTCATTTTTTGCCAATTTCATTTTGGACATCAGAATTCTAGCAAACTTCTTGATGTTGCCCCATGTAAAGCAATGTTTTACATTGCTGTAGGCAGCCGCTGAGAAAGTTAATTTGAGAGGGCTTAGCCAGGGAACAAGCTTTACTGGACAATTCTCAAAATCAAAAAACAAAACCCCAAACCCTGCACCACAGCTGACAATAAGCATTTATTTTAAGTGTTAACTGCTAAACATTCAGATAAAACAGAATTTATAACCTTATCTTTAATAGTGCCATCTAGTGACTTCCCATTTTGTTACAGTGTTCAGATTTGGAGGGCAGAATGCTGCCCTGTACTGTGAGTAACCTAGGAGGAAAAAAGCAACAGAGGGTCCTGTGGCACCTTTAAGACTCTGTTGCTTTTTACAGATTCAGACTAACACGGCTACCCCTCTGATACTAGGAGGAAAACGAACCCAAAGTCTTCCCTTCACCCATGCAGCATCAGAGAGGATTCTCTCCGTATGCTCTTGAGTGCTTGGAGGGGGGTTGGTTAGCTAACATTGTCTGCTAACCTTTTTATCAACAGCACCAAAAGAGTGTGGTTTGCTGATTTGGACACACGGTGGAGCCATTTTAATTTACATTTCTTTAATTGTGGGTCTTTATCATCACATTCACCATATGGTAACTATGGACTGTTATAAAACCCATGGTCAAAACAGGTTTCTTAAGTGACTCCACACAGTTCATAGGTGGGACTCTTTTGCATTCCCAAATAAATTATTATTATTAGTCTGGGCTAGGCCTGAAAAATCCTCAGCCTAGAGTTGGCCGTGAATGTTCCTCTTATTCTGGAGTGAAAGCCTGAAGCAATTAGAAAGAACTTGGATGTTGACAGAGGCTGAGCTACTGCACCCCTTGCAGTTACTAGCAATACTCCAATAGGCACACACAGAGATCTATTAATAGAGGTTGCCACTCATTGTTCATTGTGAAGGAGTTCAAGCCATTGTGGGAAGGTGCTGACCAAAATAGAGTAGTGAGAGGATTATTATTTTAGGTGTATCTACTGTTTGCCAGTAGACTAATTAGCACTGAGATGACATCATCAAATTTCAATGGTGTATGACTTCTGTTTGATGGAAGTGAATGTCCTATGGTTAGATGTATAATTTCATGGAAAAGATAGCAGTACAAACTAGGATTGTGTGATCTTTAGGTGGAATGAAAAAAGCTTCTGGTTTCAAAAAACTTCCAGGCATGTTTTATATTTTATACCCAGAATAAAATACCAGTCTTGGAGATGAGGCACCTTTGACATCATTAACAGTACAATCACATAAGAAATAAAGATAGCAACTTCCCCTCACCCCAAACCTGAAAACAACTATCAGAAATTATTCAGATACAAACCAAACCTTGTTCTATGCACAAATACCAGCCATTGTCAAGTCCCTTCCTACCTTTCTCAAAGCCTGCAAAATGTGGCAGGCTTTGGAACATACCACGAAGGTCAGCAGATTCTGGATATTTTGGACCAAAGGAGGGAGTTAATTACATACTATGAGGCCCTTTTTGGAGAATGCTCTCCAGGCAGCTCCCTATCATTTCTACTGAGGGGGCTGCAGCTCACGAGACTCTGTGGATTACATCTGCAGCGCAGCAGCCAGGCATGGGGTGAGAAGCAGTCTCTAGAGTAGGTTGCTCCCGAGCCATTTAGGGCCCTACAGATTAATATCAACACTTTACATTTCTCTTGGAAACCAACAGGCTGCCAGTGCAGATCCTGGAACACTGACATTATGTGCTGCTGGCAAGATACCCTATATAATTATTGAGCTGCTGCATTTTTTTTTATCATTTTCTATTTCTGGGTTGATTTAACGTGTAGATCTAAACTTGAAGAGACAAAGTCATGGATTATGATAGTCACGTCTGCAGTTATAAGCAACAATTAGGATCTCCAGGGGAGATGAATATTTCCAAAAATGTCCTCAGATGGAGAAAGCTAGTAACAAATGACAAGCGTGCTCCCTCAGTTGAAAGTGCTGGTATCATTCATGCCACATCTGCTGACGTTTCCCTCCTCCTATGAAACTCACTGCAGTTTTATCTGGATTGAGCCAGCCAGCTCTCATCTCTGCCCCTCTGGCTAAGGAATTGAAGAGAAGTGGCTGGGTTGGAAGAGATAGAGAACTGGAGTTGGTATCATCAACATACTGAAAACACCATGGCCCTCCAATGGCCCTGCATACACAAGAGAGGGGGACCATTGTATTAATTTTGATGGAATGAATGGGCCCAAAGAGTCAAAGGTGTTAACTTGACCCTGCCACTGTCCAACATTAAACAGTTTCAAACAAGGTGCAGGGTTTGGTATACAGAGACCTCAGTCTGCTTAGTACCATGGCAAACATTAAATGTAAAGTGTTGAATAAGGCTTTTATTTTAGCAGTGCCCCTTGTTCCCTCTTCCCTTTAGCTGTAGAGAATGTTCTTAAGGAACACGAAACACCTCCACCTCTATCTGAGAGTCTTTGGTGTTAAAGATGGTAACAACTGTCCTTGTGGGGGAAAGGGAAGAAGTTAGTTGAGATGCGCTGGAGCTGTCATTGCTGCTGTTGCTAAAATCCCATCCTGACTTGGCCAACGTATAACAGCATTGGGTTATTTAGGGCATTGCTTCTAGACATCTTTTTGGTCACAGGATTACAGCAATGTTGCACAATATGCAGTCTTGGCCAACCAAGCTACACACTTCCCAGCCAGAATGCAGAGAGGGGAAGGAAAGAGAAGAAATAAGGTGGGGAAGGAAATGGACACACAAGGGGGAAGGATGACAAAATCCTGCATTCCAGGTGGCGGTTGGGATTTAGCTGGAGCCAGTGGAGGTCATGATGTCATCTGGGTCTCTCTCTTTGGCCTGGTCTAGTTAGGACATTTTTCAGAATTAGGACAATAAAGGCTCAACTATGTTACATGGGTCCCAGGAGATGGTGGGGGTGGCAGCCATAATGGTAAAGCTTGCTCTTCTAGTTTACTTGTCCTTCAGCCAATAGTTGCTATTAAACAGCTTTTTATTCATCCACCAAAGTCTTTTTTTTTTAGGACTCCAAAGGGAGTGATGGGTAGAATAGCCCATCCCCATATTATTTTGTCCACCAGTTAGGCCTAATTTCCTACATTCCAACTTTGGTTTATTAATTATCAGTTCCACATTTGGCTTACACTGGCATGATTTTAATACACTCCCTGGGTTATATTAAAAGACTTTTCTGTCTAGACCAGTGGTGGGCAACCTGCAGCCCATCAGAATAAGCTGATTGATTGTGGGCCACAAGACATTTTGCTGACATTGACCATCTGCAGGCACAGCCCCCCACAATGGGAGCTGCGGGAAGCGGCAGCCAGCACATCCCTCCGGATCACCACTTCCCGCAGCTCCCATTGGCTGGGAACGGCGAACCATGGCCACTGGGAGCTGTGGGGGGCCATGCCTGCGGATGGTCAATGACAGCAAAATGTCTCGTGCCCCACAATCAGCTTATCCTGATGGGCTGCATGCAGCCCGTGGGCTGCAGGTTGCCCACTGGTGGTCTAGACTAATCCAGTCTTTGAGACATCCTTTTGTACCTTTTCCATTAACATTTATTGTTATAGGTTACTGTGATATCTTATGAATTGTTACACACTTTTTACAATTTGAGTTTACAATTAGGCTCAATTATTATACCAGGACCAAGATGGAACCTTCAAAACATCACATCAGAGAGCCCTCATCAGTTAATGCCCAACGTTGCTTAAAGTAACCAATTACAATACTACATGAAAACACAATCTGATTACAATGTAACAAAACTGATCACAGTGATGGACGACTTTTTTAAAAAAATTACAACCTTGAGAGACAACCTGATTGTATTTTAGTCTGACTTGAAGCTGTTAATCGAGTTTCTTTTAGCTATGTCTTGGCAATCCTGCCATTACTTTCCCAAGTGTGAATAATTGTATTATTATGGTAGTGACTGTATACAGTGTCAGAGTCTCAGTGCGCAACTCACATGCACTAATAGTGCTGGAATTATTCCAGGGCCCACCAGAGTTGAACCTCAATAGTTCCAGGAAGTGGCCAGGACTAACTGCAACAGGAAGTTGGACTACATGAAAGTAGCCCAACTTCCAACACTGCTCAGTGCAAGAGTAATCTGGAAGGACTGATTTATACTTTTTGGATGCAATCATTTGTAATAGATCATATTTTCCAAATAACGTTAGTAATGCTGTCCAGGCCAAATTCCAAACTGTGGAATGAACTGCTTCCTATATTGCTGGCAGGTTTATAAATTCTGTAGTTGTATGCAATTTGAATTGTAATTCTGGGAGATTTCTGAGGAATTTATATAATCCTGCCAAAGTCAGGATCCCAGGAAAATGGACCAACGGTCTATTCTCTGGAGATAAATTCCGCAGGCCTGATTTCTGCAGTCCTTGTACACTTCTACCTTCCTTTGATCAATAAGAGTTATATAAAGATAAGCATTACAGGATGGGAACATTTGTTCCAATGGAGAACATTAACATGGCCAAGACACAGACAGCCTCTTCTTGCACATCCATCTGAACTTGGCTTTCAATTTACTTTGAACATTAGCAAGGCAGAGGAAGATGGAATGTAACTGTTTCTAAAAACCAGTAGTTTCAAGAACCACCATATAATTAAGAAAGAGCTTAAAGCATTGCGATATGCGGATACAGCCCTACTGCATATTAACATGCCAAGCTATTTTCATTATCTCCCGGCAGTATAAGTTCCATTCTTATGATCAATAACACACTTACCTTCCCACTGCTCATCACAAACTGTGAATAAGATAGTTTTGTTAGTTAATCCTGGGAACATACTGCTGCACTCCATAACAATAGCCTGAGGAATCATTATAATGCAGGACACAATCCAGATAACGATAATGCTATTCCTTGCCCTCTTGGCTGTGCTTTTAAACATCAAAGGGTGACAAATTGCATACCAGCGATCCAAAGCGATGCAGCTAAGTGTTAGTACAGACACAGAGACTGACACAGTCTAAGGAAACAAGGAAACATTGTGTAAACTTTTCTGATTTTTAACCTTGAATACAATTTATATTTTCAACACCATCAGAAATCTATTTAGAGTTGATATCCCATGATCAGGGGCTGTTGGACAGTGATTCTTCCAAGAAAAACAAATCCCTTTTTATATCACTTGTCACAAAATTCACATAGGCCTGAGTCTGCCAGCCTAACTCATTTTCAGAAGTACATTAATCTGTGTATAATCCCATTGGAATCAACAGGACAACTCACAGACCACTCAGTTTGAATAAGTGTGGCAGAATCAGGCCTCATAAGAATAAACTCATCCGTCTTATACTTTGAAAGCATTATTTGTAAAAGCGTATATTTTTGCAATATGAAAGTAAAGCTTTAAACCCACTAGCTACATCTTGCTTTGTAGGAGACATTATCTCATTCGATGTGCTATGAACCTGTATCTTCATTGTGTCGTCCCAATTTTCACAAAGGCAATGGGAAATCACAGTCACATAAAAAATAATCCGTTTGTAGTTGATAAAAATAGGATCATTGGATTTTTCCACTGGCTACAAACAATAAACAATTGCTTATTTTCTTCTGCTCAATAGACTGGGTGACAGTTTCACGTCCTTTCTACATTCAGTGGGGTCTTCCAAACCAGGTGCAGGCCAACAGTTAAAGTACCAACAACAATCTCATGTAGCAGTGTTGTGGGCTCTGAAATAAGTTGGGCAATTTTGATTCTATGCAGTGGAACAGAGGGCAACACATATCCACGGATCAATTCATGGTACTATTATACACGACCAATACTATGGCCCGTGCTGCATCCTTTGGAATGTTGTGTGCACTGAGGGGGCTTGATTCTGACCTCAGTTACACCACTGTAAACCTAAATGTCCATTGAGTTACTTTGGATTTACACCAGTAAAAAGGTCCAAAGATTTACCATACTGGAATGTCCCATTGGCCCATTTAGTCTGATGAGAAAAGGAAGGCACAGCTGTTAATCACTTCACTGAAAAGGGCCTCAGAATTGATTTAACTTAATAATTGTGAATGGCAATAACTGATGCTTAACTGGGAGAGTATGAGCAATTTCCGCTGCCCGTAGGGACGTTTGGCTATTTCTACATAGCACATAGTAAGGCGTATGGAATTCTGAACTCCACTTTCTAACTACAGAGGGCCAGATGCTCTGTCACCCGGCACCTTGGGTAGTCATTATGTCCATGCAAAGTGGGCACAAAATATCACTGTTCTGATATTTTAATATTTTATGTCCACTTTGCATTGATGTAAATGACTACACAAGGTGAAGAGAATCACAGAATCTGTCCCAGTGTGTTTATTGCCTAAAAAAAAGAGAAAAAATACTGAGAATGATATTTATTCAGCAAAGTATTTTATTTAATGTTATGTAGTTGGACATTGGAAGTGGAGTAGCTCTTAAATCACAATATCAATCCCCTCCATTAGGAAGTCCCAATTAAGCAGATTCTACTGTACTGTTCCTTTTTGACAACAACAGTGGTATGGAGAACAATACCTGTAAATAGGGGATCACCTTGCAGAGGGTCTGCCCAAAGAACCAAGTTTCTGTGATATCCACGACTAACGTGGCTGGAAGACAAGTGATTGTGACAAGAACATCAGCCAGGGAGAGGTTTACTATGAAGTAGTTGGTAACTGTCCGCATGTGATGGTTCTTCCACACTGCAATACAAACTGAATTTGCAAAGAAGGGTTAGTACATTTGAAACAACATGTGGAAGGAACACTTCAATGGGACAACACTTTACAGGAGCAACTAGTAATCGGAGGATGCAGAAACATTTTCTGAAGAAGGTTTTAAATATGTCAAATAATATAAATATGTAGGGACAGCTAATTTTTGTTTATAGTGAACAGCCTGGAAGCATGGAGAAATAGCTAGAAACAAGGAGGAGCCAAAGTCATGTGACCAATCAATTCTCCACAGACTAGAATTTAGGAATTGTTGGTTTGATCTGTAGATCAGTTTATTTTATTTATGTTATTACAGGTACAACAGCATGCAGTAAATTTTATACAATATAAGGCTCCCAGAAATGAGTTTGTTTTTCCTATTGATCCAAACTGTAAAGCTTTATAAACCAGGTAAATCACTCTGACTACATCTGAGTGCAGTAAATCAATAAATCAGTAAGCTAGCAAAATAAAAATTGAGGTTGTGGAAACCAGCTTGAGAAAAAATAGCTTTGTGTAATAACCTAGGACATAAAACCCTAAGAGACTGGGTTTCTGAATATTTTTGATTTCTCAAGTGTTAAAAAGATTTCCATTCCCTCTTTTAAAACTGACTCCTACAGTCCCCAATCCACCACCTCAACAATTTTACTACCACAGCAAATGTATTAATCCTTTAGTCACAGAATGTCCTTCTGTCTTGAGCAGAGATGGGTCATGTCTTCAAATCTCAAGCTGGATCCAAACTTTCCTTAATTTCAGGGATTCAGTGTTTGGCCCAATTTAGATATATTAGCTAGATGAGAAGTGCAGATCTGAATCTGAACTCTCCCAATAATCAAAGCAGGATTTCAGAGTTTTAGTCTGGAGACAGCTCTGGTCCTGAGCTCACTAAAACACACATTCAGACCTCAGGTTTAAGGAGAACACAGTCTTGAGTGAGAGTATTTTGTAATTTAAATTACAAAAATAAGTAAAAATAGTAGGGTTAAAAACAGTTGATACATACTACCAATGTATTTGTGGTATCTGTAGCTGGTAACCATGGAGATTATGGCAGAGGAGATGCAACAGGTTACAGGGGAAATGCACACTATGCTCTCTCATGAGCCTTATTCACACTAAAGAAATGATGCAAATTTATAAGATTGTTGCTGACACCACTTTAGATTAACTGGTGTTAACACCGAGGCTCAAGGTATTGTAGGTCAGTGGTTCTCAATCAGGAATCTGGGGCCCCCTGGAGGGCTGCAGGCAGGTTTCAGAGGGTCCTCCAAGCATGGCCATTAGACTCGCTGGGGCCCAGGGCAGAAAGACAAAGTCCCACCAGATGGGGCTGAAGCCTGGGGCTCTGAGCCCTGCCACCCGGGACTGAAGCCAAACCCTGAGCAACAAAGCTTCACAGGGGGCCCTGTGGCATGGGGTACCAGGCAATTACCCTGCTTATCCCCTAACGCCAGCCCTGGCTTTTATATGCAGAAAACCAGTTGTTGTGGCACAGGTGGGCCATGGAGTTTTTATAGCATGTTGGGGGGAGGGGGGGGGGGCTCAGAAAGAAAAAGATTGTGAACCTCTGCTCCAGGCTATATGAATTTTACTTTTGTTTTGTTATTTCCCTTAAACAAAAATAGAAGTAACCCAGCAAAGTGGGGAGAAATTGCACTCTACAAGGACTGAACTTCTGACAAATTGATTAGTAGTTGTTTGTCTATTTGTCTGTCTTGTCTTTTTAACCTGTAAGTTCTTTGGGCAGAGATCCTCTTCCTTTCTATGTTTGTGTGGTGTCTAGCCTGATGGGACCCTGACTGGAGCCTTCAGGCATTACCATAATAATTAACAAGATCCCCAGCAACCTACCCTTGTAAATGTGCAAGGGAAACTAGTATGTCTGACAGGAGGTTGTAATGAAAAGCCTCTGGAAAAATATATATATTACATCTACATAGCAATACCCTAAACTGGTGTCTGTTCTAAATGCTGTCATTGCCCACCTGCTCAAGTGTATGATGATGTTCTCTGTTAGATGTGCCCTAGAGAAGAGTAAGTCTGGACACATATACCCTCCAGGATTTAGCTTGTGAGAGTTACATTAACTGGACCCTGCTATTTGGAGGAAAAGACTGATCCCAGCACATTAATCTGAGCACTGGCATTCTAGATTACTTCTTACTGAATCTGACTGCTTTAATAAGTGTATCAGGTACACTGCCTCCCCCCCCTCCATTCTTGGTATCTGCCATGCCCAAGGTCTTCAAGGAGTGCTGGGTAGAGTCTCCAGCCATCTTGCAGCTTCAGTGGGGCTACCAGGAAAGAGCCTCTGCCTTACAGTCCAACAAATATTTGTCTGGGGAGGCGAAAAGGAACATCAGTATGCCACTGAATAGGCTCTAACCAATAGATAGGGGAACTTCTTCCCACTTCCACTGCAGCCAGATCTACAAGGAGACTGGGGCACTTAGTACCCATATAATCCTCAAAGTAGTATGCTAGGGAAGTGAAGCCCTTGGAAACTTCAAAGCTAGAATGGTATGAATTAGGTAATGCTATCTGACCTTACTGCAGTGTACAGCTGGCTGAGAAGGTATATCTTTGTCACCCCTCCCAATTGGGGAGTGGGGTGGGGAAAGCAGTGGCTTCTGTCCCCGAGGATTCTGGAGTTGGAAGAAAATGGCTCTTACTCTGTAGCAACCCCAAAGTACAAGACAGGCAAAGTGACCATCCGGCCTCCCTGAAGCCTCTGGGAGAGGAATCTCTAGGTAGGGGCACAGAGCACCAAGCCACATAGTATGAAGATGAAAGGAATATGAGGCCTGTAGATGAGTGAAGATTTGGAAGGGTCCTGTTTGGGGAGACGGGAGCACCAGGTATGCAATAAGAATCCATCCAACTCTACCAAACTTGTTTGGACTTTGGCTGATGATGATCAGGGATCTTAGAAATCTATTTGCCACAGGAAAACATGGAATTTGCATTTTTACAGAGAATCTTTCGTTTTTACATTTTGTGAAACAATAAAAACATATATTGACTATTCACTAAATTTTACTGGAATTTACATTTATTCAATGCGTGCAACCTCCTCTTGAGGTTGATTTTTGAATGTGCTTTAAATTTACAGTGGAGCCTCATTTATTCAATCGAATTAGGACTAGGGTCAGATCTGCTAATCAAAATTGGGATAATCAGGAGAGTTGGCAAAAATATTTGTATCCCTTTTTTTAAGATGCGGGGAGGGTGGGGGTTAGTACGCACGCAGCAGGTGGTTTGGTTAATACGGAAAGCAGGATAATGGGAGGCTCAGATAAATGGGGTTCTACTGTATATCAATAAAACATTCTCTTCAACTTATACCTATTGTGACAGACCCAGACCAGTGGGGTACAGGAGTCTGGTAGAGGGCAAATATACTGGTCACTGGATGAGTAGTTTTCTGTTCCCTGAGTGACCAGAGCAGGGGCTGCACTAGAGTAATCAGGAACCTGCTAGAACCAGTTAAGGCAGGCAGGCTAATTAGGACACCTGGAGTCAATTAAGAAGAAGCTGCTAGAATCAATTAAGGCAGGCTAATCAGGGCACCGGGGCTTTAAAATGGAGCCACTTCAGTTTGTGGTGTGAGTGTGAGGAGCTGGGAGCAAGAGGTGCAAGGAGCTGAGAGTGAGAGGGTGTACTGCTGGAGGACTGAGGAGCACAAGCGTTATCAGACACCAGGAGGAAGGTCCTGTGGTGAGACTAAGGAAGGTGTTTGGAGGAGGCCATGGGGAAGTAGCCCAGGGATTTGTAGCTGTCATGCAGCTGTTACAGGAGGTACTATAGACAGCTGCAGTCCACAGGGCCCTGGGCTGGAACCCGGAGTAGAGGGCGGGCCCGGGTTCCCCCCAAACCTCCTAATTGACCTGGACTGTGAGTTCTTCCAGAGGGGAAGGTCTCTGGGCTGTTCCCCAACCCACATGGTGAATCTCTGAGGCAAGAAAATCCGCCAATTAGCGCAGGACCCACCAAGATAGAGGAGGAACTTTGTCACACTATAGATACTGTGGCCAGGGAAACTAAAGTTAAGCATTTCATTTTAATTGCAGAAAAGCACTGACTTTTATGGGTTTTTTTAATCAGAGAATTTAGAGTTTTTTTTATCATGCAAAACTAGGATCCCTGATGATGATTGAAACAATAAAAGGATACCTGAACAAACCATGATTTAATGTTATATACAAGCCTTTCAAACAGCCCTAGACATATTGCAGTGCAAAAGAAAAAGTTGGGAGAGACAGAGAAAGTGGAGAGGGAAGAGAGTTTCAGATGGGAAAAAAGACAAGAGGAGAAGAGATTCAAAAAGGAGAGAAAAAAGGTAGGAAAAGGAATAAGTAAATGAGAGAAGTTCCCTTTGAAACCACAATCCTACCCAATCTGTAAACATCTCAGTGCTACTCCACTCGAATCTCCCTTTCAATTTTTTTTGCTCTGTTCTAGTTTTGATTTTACAAAAAGAAACAAGATCTAAAAGGAACTCAATTCAAAGTGACTGCTGTTCTTATCTTTGCCACATAGTGTCAGTAAAAGCTTGGAAACTATAATGAGTTACCATGCTGTGCCCTGTTTAGAAGATGCGCTGTAGCTCTATCAAATGAATCCATCCTAAGACTGTTTTGAAGAGGGTTGATTGCACTGAGTTTGAAGTTTGGTGAGGAGATACATTGTGGATTCCAGCCATAATTCACACAGAATGCAAAAAACTTCACTGTCTTCAAGGGGAGCACAATGAAGGGAAATAGATTACTCGGGATGAATACAAATTTTGCCAGAAAATATTTATGAGTACAGAGAAAATGGCTTACAGGGAAATCTCATGAGGGATTTGACTAGAATTTACAAGTGCACAACAAATCCATACCAAAGATTAAATTTAAGAAAGATAGTCTGAAGTCCATATTGTGTGAGCAAAAAAGGCTTCAGATACTTCATTACATTCTATTACAAAATCTCAGATGTGACAGTAAAGTGGG